TGTATTTTTGAGTGGCTTGTGAATCAGACATAGGCAACCCGAGGGCTGCTATCTGGTTAGAACCAGTGGGTTTTCTGTCCTTTTGACAGAAAGAAAAAGTTATTGTCACGCAGATGACCCCACGCAACCCTCTAGCCGGGTCATGACCCAGTATGGTCGGGCATGTGCTTGTGCAATGGAAAACCTGTCTGCACAGTACAGTGAAGATGACGGGAGTAAACTGATTATCGTGAGTTCAGACTGCAGTGACTCACAGTTGTAGATTAGGTTTACTAGTCTGTCAGGAGCTCCTATAGATGGCTCAGACAGATTAGAGAGTTGCAGCTCAACAGCGATGCTGAAAAGAAGGAGGTATCCCTCAGAGGACATCAGGTAAAATGTCCATTTATGGATGTTAGAGTATCTCCAGCTCACTGATTACCATGAGTAATCTGTAGCATTTAAACATTCTTAAACCTATATTAATCTAGTTTGTGTCCTGCTGAGGGCCGTACAACAACAGATTAACACGTCTAACAGACACTGTTCTCTACTTTTTCAAATCAGTAATCATCAATTGTAGAATTTTGAAGGGTTGTGATCTTGAATCTTTTAGAATCTGAATGTTTTTCATGCAGAAACCTCTTTATAGTTTTAATTTTACTACGATCGGTTTATAATTTTATTTTGTTATTTTAATGAAGAAATGTTAAATCTTATTGTGTTTAACTAATCAATTATTGTTGGTGTTTTTCCCAGGTTGATGACCGCAGATCCAGCTTAGCTACAGCCACTCTAAGTGAGATTTGATTGTAAACAACTTGACAAACACGTGCCATCAGGAATAAGTTCTTCTGATTAACATTTTAAAGGCCAGAAGCGAGGCAAACACCTTGTGTTCAAACAGATGGAGGTAAACAATAAACATGACAGCAGTGAGTAAGTGTACGTGCTGCTGCTCACGTTCCACTCAGACAGATTATCTCAGGTATTAGATCAGATCCTAACAGGTGAAAGGACACCGAGAACAAAGTGAATATACCCACAAATAAACTAAAGCTGGCTGAACTACCTCCACGTCTCCACACCTTGTATTGCTTATTTTACATGTAGACAAGATTACAGCTTTAAGGGGAAAGATGACTATGATGGAGGAGATGAGATCATCAGGATGTGTCACTCAACAAATCCATTAATATGATCCTGGAAGAAGGTCACTGACTAGAGGCCAAACAAATGTAGGTCTTTCAGTCTCGGTCAAAACCCCAATCCACACTGGAGGCATGAGCTGCGCGGAACGTCTCTGCATCTAATAGAATCCGTTATAGTCTATAGCAGCAGTTCCCAATGCTTTATGCTTGAGGACCTCCTGACCATGTCCAAGACAAGCCAGGACCCCCAACCACAGCTCTACCCATAAACACATTCAAAGTGATCAATTAAACACTCTGTAGGGACATATAGTTATAACTAATGCAGCACTTGCATTATACAATTGGATGTGTTATTGGGTTTTATAAATGTAATTTTTACAAATATAATCTTGGTAACTTCACAATCTCAGCACAGACAAAACTGTGAGGACCCCCTTCAATTTTGGCGGGGTCACTGACCCTAGGTCAGGAACCCCTGGTCTATTGGGTTAATCCAAGCCGGCCGCTATGCGGAACATTTCGCTAAAGATAGGATTGGGTCTTTTTCTGTTGTGAGCAGCTTCTGGGACACATTAATTTCTGCAGTTAACTTAGAGCTAGACAGGAAATCACACATGGTTTCAGTGAAAAAAGTCGTTTCATTTTCTAAATAAAAACTATTGCAGAGGAGTGATTTCTTATCCACATATGTGTGACCTAACAGCTTATTTTTCCCTGCATCTTTTGAGAAGCGCAACGGTGTTTTTTTCATGGCTTTAATCCTGGCAGTGGAGAGGCACAACATTATTTATGACACCAAACAGCGATATTAAACTTGATCTGATTCTTCTTCTTGGTTTAATGGCGGATAGCATAATCAAACTGTGACTGGTGAGGTCATGATGCTAATTAAGAGGTGCAGCATTGCTTTTAAAACAAGTGACATTAATTACAGCACAGCTAAGGCGGATTTATGGAGAGGCATTAAAGAGGCAAAAAGGGTGTTTAGGAGGGAGGTTGAAGCCCATCTGAATGCAGGATGTGGGAAGAATTACAACAGCTCACCAATCACAAGGACATGCTCAGCAATATCACTGGTGCTGACAATTAGTGTGAGGAACTCAATTAGCCCGCTTTGAGACGACTAGCCCTGTTGCTGCCTCCCTCCCTGCTCCACTCTCTGTCTTTACATGACTTCTCTCTGCTGTAACATGATATCAGACAGGTGAAGAGGTCTGCGAAACCAAGAAGGCTCCTGGCCTAGGCCGGTGCAAATCAGCTTATGGGGTTGTCACCAAAATGTTCAATCTTCGCCTTTCACAAGCCTACACCCAAACCTGCAATAAATCAGCTACTACAATACCACTCCTTAAAAAGCATGTGCCTCGGATCTAAACTACAGACCAATTGCTGTCACTACCATCGCAATAAAGTGTTTTGAGAAAGTGTTTCTGCAACACATCAAAGCATTTCTTCCTCCCAACTTGGATCCACATCAGTTTACTTTTAAACCCAAAAGATCTACTGAAGGTACAGTCTCCACAGCCAGCCAGAAAGCCCGGAGCCATTTAGAACATCGACAGAGATATGTAAGAAAGCTGTTCACTGACTTCAGTTCAGCTTTGAATACAGTTAGGGCTTCCATCCCAGTTGCCAAACTGACACAGTCGGGCCTCACACAAAATATCTGCTCTTGGATCAAGGACTTTCAGACAAACTGGTCCCAGCAAGTGAGAATGGGCCCTTACACCTCATCTACCGTGACATGAGCACTGGCACTCCCCAAGGTTGTGTTTGAAGCCCACTACTTTACACACACATATGATTGTGATTCTGTGCACCCATCTAACACCATAATTAAGTTTGCTGATGACACAATTGTGGTTGGACTTGTCTCGGGTGACAATGTCATCTTATAGGGATGAAGTGCACAGACTTACAGTTTAATGCTCAGAAAACAACCCACCTAAATCCCAGTAAAACCAAAGAGATGGCTGTGGACTTTGGGATAAAGAGACCAGGACCCAGCACCCCTGTACATTAAAGAGGTGTGGTTGAAAGAGTGGGGTCCTTTAAGTTCGTCAGAGTACAGTATGACCACTACAGTGAAGAAGGCTCATCAGAGGCTTTATTTCCTGGGAGTTTAAAAAAAAGCAAAGACAAAGGAAAGGCTGCTACGGTCATTTTACTGCGCTGTAGTGGAGTCGCTCCTGACGTACGGCCTTGCAGTGTGGAACTCTAGTTCTGCAGCGGACAAAAAGCAAAGAGCATTGACAATGACAGAAACAATTATAAGCTGTCAGCTGTCTCTCCTGGAGGACATTACCAAAGCTTGTTACCTCAACAGAGCAAAGACAGTTTTCATCTGGACCACAACCTTTTCGAGCTGATGCCCTTGGGCAGGAGGTACAAGGCAGCCAAGGCTCATGCAAAAAGACCAGTAGACAGTTTCTATCGGACGGCCTTAAGAGCATTAAACCACACGTGTCAGACACAAGGCCCGCGGGCCAGATGTGGCTCGCGAGAGCTTCAAGTGTCTTAAAATAGATCTATGCCGCTTCAAAGCATACATTGACTATAAACTACATTTCCAATAATGGTGATTGTGTTACCACTGCAGTGGCAGTATTTCGCGACTAGGTCGCAGTGTATCCAAATTCGTGTTAACTTAATGCAACAAGTGAAAATAACTGTCCAGAAATGATCCCAAAATGTCCAGGAAGAGAAAGATCGATGCAGAAGGAAGGGTGTTTCAACAAAGATGGAACATGTTTATGCTTCAAGAAGAAAAACTGGTGTCTTTACAGTCATTAACGCCCATGCTACTAGCATCAGCGTCTGCAGCGGTACCGTCCCACGCATCGGACAAACTGAGAACACTCCTCTTACTCAGCGAGTTTACTCAGAAATTGGCCCACTTTGAAGCCCAGAAATGGATTTTAACCGCTCAGTAATCTGCTGCTGACAGAAAGTGCACCGACCTTCCAGACCAAGATGATTTAATGACATGCTCAAGTCAGTTTGACTCGATGGCTGCTGCAGTGTTTATCTTTCCACACTGACTGCATGGTCCAGCTGCTCAGACTTATGTGAGCAGCCTTGTTCCAGATGAGCCAGTTCTACGCAGATTAGATCACCGGTGATCGGCGCGCAGTGAATGCCGGTTAGATTTGTGTCCGACTTGATGCCAACTTGATGCCGACTTGCTCTGACGTCATGCATACGTACGCAAAGATAACTTCGTGAGATCAAGGCAGCCGCAGATCTTGGAGCCAGGTGCTCACACCCCTGTATTAAACAATCCATGCCAAAGCCCCCACACTCACATAGGACGGTCACAGCCTTCCATTTTGTATTTGCACCTTGTTTTAGGAGTATGCATGATTTTAGTACATATGAATCTGTATGTTTGGTACTTGTGTTTTTATCATCTTTCATTATTGGTTTTATTATGTTTTAACATAAAGCAACAGCATTTCTGCTTATCTTTTTGTTGTAAGGCTCTTTTTAATTGACAAGTACTTACTTAGAAGAAGTTTTGGGGATTATGGTAAAATAGTATTTCTATATAATAGACCTAGATCCTAGAACTCCCCAAGGCACTTTACACCATATACAGACATACACACTAGACACCCCTGGTCCTTCCGACCACCCTCAGCAGGCGAGTGTTTTGCCCAAGAACACAATGACTGCGGTAGCTTGAATGTGGAATGAACCTGCAACCCTCTGATTGCGGGGCAGGCACTTAACTTCTCTGCCACCATCGACTGATATCAAAACAATGTCAGCATTTCCTTAATCCCTTGTGAAAATTAGCTTCTACAACAACAGCTTCCCATTTATGTTGTATAAAGACTTAAAGGGTTGAAGTTCTCCCAGCTCTACCTGATTCAACATCAAGGGAGTGCTTGTCAATGGCCAGGTTCATTGTCTGGTAGGCATTGTTGGCAAAGTCCTCCAGGATCAGGTAGATGATGTTGGTGACCTCTTTAGGGACTGGTTTACCAAACCGCATTCGGCTGTTCACAACAATGCTGCCATTCCTGAAGTTGAGGATCTCCAGGTTCTGGAAGTTGCTCAAGTTGGACTGTAGGTATGGGACAAGCTGCAAAGCAAAGACAAGAATTTACTTTAAACATCTAAAGCTCAAAGTGAACTCATTGAGACATATTCTGAGTTCTCACCAGTTCCACAAACCGTTGTTCAAGAGCTTTATATTCTGAGGAGCTCTTGTTAAAGAGGTCCATGGAGAACACCATGTTGGTCACCCTCAAGCTGAAGAAAACTGTCAGATCTCTGCCTGGCCTGGTCGGTAAAGCAAAGGCCTGAAGGTCGGATCCCTGATTCTCACTGGAGAAACCACTACTCTCACCTTCGCTCGCCCCAGTACCATACTGGAATAGATCAATGCTGACACCAATTCTTGGAACGTCCAGGATATCCTGTTCAACAGGTTGGAGGTCAATCACAGGAGTGCTGCCATTCACCTTCTTGAGAGAGGAAGCTGGTGTTTGAAGGATAATGCCATCTACTGCCCCTTGTGAAAGTTCTATTTCTCCAGAAGGTTCTGTTTTCGTTCTGAAAAGTTCTTCTTCCTGTCCTACAGGTTTCTCTAATGACCCTGGGTCACTTTCAGAAGGCTCCACTTTACTTCCTGTTGGTTCCACTTCTCCCTTTGAAGGTTCAGCTTTTACTACTGAAGGTTTAACTTCTCCTGAAAGGTCTGCTTCTAAAAGCTGTTCTTCTTTAGTCAAATGTTCTGCATCTTCTTGAGAAAATTCTTTGCTTTCCATTTCAGAAGGTTTGAATTTGCCTTCTTGTCCAGAAGTATCTACATCTGAAGGTTCTCCTATAGCTTGTGAGGGTTCCTTTATGACCCCTGAAGTTTGTACTTTGACCTCTGAAGGTTCTGCTTTGCCTTCCACAGAGCTTGCTTTTGTTGTTGCAGGTTGTAGTTCCACGCCCAACTGTTCTTTTGTCCCTCCTGAAACTTCCGCTGTGGTTGGACCCAAATCTTGGTCAGGTAATGAAGAGTCTGGTGATCCCTGGAGATCATGTAGGGCACTTTCCATTTTGCCCACTGATGTAGATTGAGAGCTATCTAAGGACTGAGGGCTTACAGGAACTTCAGTCCCTTCTTGGTGGTTTTGATCTACTTGGTGAAACAGATCATCTTCTGGCACAGAGTCAGACACTCGAGTGAACGGCGAGTCCTTTTCAGGTGAGAGCACGAGGCTGCTGCTGTGGTCTGGAATAGGAACAGGACTTTTTGTTGTTGTGAAAATAAAAACCTCGTCTACGACAAGGTCTTGGTCTGGGGCTTTGGTAGGTCCTGCAGATGTACCAGACTCTAAATGCTGTTCCTCTAAGATCTGAACCTCTTCATGGATTCTTGTCTCGATAAGTGGATGTTCAGGCTTATCCGAGAAGACCTCATCAGTGACAGATTCAGAGCTAATGTCACTAACTGTAAATGAGTGGACTGGGACAGGAGGAGGTAAATCCTCTATCTGTATCTCCTCTGGAAGGGCTTCTGAAGATTTTGAAGGGGGTGTGGTTTCTGATATCTCTGCCACAGTTTCAGCAAGCACTTCAGCCTTCTCGGTGGTCTCCTGAAGGCTAATAGTTGAACTAGTTGGACCAGGAACCTTCTGAGTGTCAGATTCAGGTTGAGGAGAGTCTGTGACCGATGAAGGAACCGTATGAGTTTCAGTCAGAGAATAGTCTTCGTGAAAACCAGATGCTTCCTCAGCGTGTACAGAAGCTTCTTCACTGAGGGTTCTCTTTGTGGAGAAGACAGGTATCTGGGTTGGGGTTGAGTCTTGTGGTTCTGAGCTGATCAGTGGTGTCAGTAGAACATCATCCAGAACAGGTTCCTCTGAATGTTCCTTCAAAGTTAGTTCTTCGAAAGCAGACGTGGTCGTTTCCCGTAAAACACCAGTCCCTGTGAATTCTTCTCTGTCAGAAACTAAATCTGCTTTTGATGACAAAGTCTCTACAGCAGTCATGTCCTCATCTTCCACCTCCAGGTCAGGAGGTGGAGGAACCTCCAGGCCCCCATCACCCCTGTTATAAATCATGTCAGATGACTCTGCAGTGTGCCAGATATCAGAGCCTTGACCATCTCCAGAGAACCCAGAACCAGATGAGTCCTCAAAGTTATCCTTAGAGGATGTTGTTCTCACAGTGGGAGGAACTCTGGAGGAATCTTCAGGAGGAACCAAATGGACCACTGTCTGGGTTTCATCTCCAGAGTTGGGAGTGTTGCTGGAGAGGAATTCCTCTTCTTCCAAGCTTCCTCCATCTGTAATGACAGAAACACAGGAGAAGGTTTAAGGTGAGGATCCTCACGTCTAAAGAAATCCCTCCTGGAGCTCACAGCCCTGATGGGACCTGCTTGCATGTGAGCTTGAAGAACATCAGATCAAATTTAGGTTTTAGAGATTTTATTTGAAAAAATATTTAAAAAAAAAAGATCATGATGTTTTTGTTTCTTGATCCAGAACTTCACCACATGTCAGTACAGGTATCTACAGATGTTCCTGACCTTTTGACAATGGTGCCAGGTCTAAGGTCTTTCCCAGGAATTCTGCTGAGGATGGAGGAACTGTGCTCTCCTCAAACATGAACACATCGTTTTCGCTCACTGCCTCAGTCTGTGGCACTTTCCACTGGTCAAAGGTGTCAAACAGGAAGTCCTCCTTCTTCAGGAAAACGTCGCTGACATCAGTTTCATGACTTGGAGCATCAGGAGGCTTCTCTGCAGCGAGGATGTTATCCTGAGAATAGACAAGTGGGGAATCTTTCAGTCTGTGATCAGTTATTTAGTCCGGACTAATTCATGTGGAGCTTGAGATCTCGTGGAGTTTAAGGTGGACCCACCATGTTGTTGTAGGAATCAGCTGGTTTACTTGTAGGTTTCACAGGAGGCAACACGTTCTCATCTACAGGTAGAAACACCGTTAGAGTTTTGTCGAATGGGTCAGAATGTTCAGCGTGCCAGCTGGACAAAACAGATTACCGTATTTTCCGGACTATAAATTGCACCTTTTTTCATAGTCTGGCTGGTTCTGCGACTTGTATATCAAAATGACTTATATACCAAATAATGTTTACCGCGTTGCTGCGGGCCGGCTCCGGACCAGGAATGAGCTCCCCTGCCCGCTGGGAGGGTTTCAAACACCGCCATCCTCTGCTGGAGACCGCGGCGCACTGCTGCACACACCGCTGATGCAACAGCTGGTTGTTAATTCTGTTATTGTTACCGGTACTCGTCTTGCAATGTGAAATGCTTGCTCTCAGATTTTGTAAGAAAAATAATAAAATTTCTAGTTATATATGTTTTTTTCTTCTTCAATATACATTTTATGGCTGGTGCGACTCCAGAGCGACTTATACTCCGGAAAATACGGTAAACGTGTTCTTTGGCCTCTTTTTGGAGGAACCTCCAGAACAGTTACATACCGGGTTCCAACGTCTCCAGGCTGGTGTTGGCCAGGAAGTCGTCTTTGTGCAGTGCCTCAGTGATGTAGTTACGGAGGTCTGTGATGGTGTAAATGACGGTGGGCTGTTCAGCAGCTCCCAGGTAGCTCCTCTCCACCAGGTTGTTCTGCAGTGTGATGAAGTCCAGGGTGTCGGTGGAGATGCCACCACCATCTGCCTCCACCTCCAAAACGATGGCGTAGTGCACCTTAACCACCAGACCCCTGGTTCCCATACGCAACCAAACAAGTCACCAACAGGTCAGGGAACAAAGAAATACAGAGAGATGACACAAAAACATCAGAAAATAAAAGATTATAAAACAAAAATTCATTTAATGATCCAAATAATAAAAATATATATTCATCTGCAAATGCTCCATTAAAGCTGTAATAGCAAATCTGGAAAACAAATTAGCTTAAAACATTTTTTTTCATGCCTCTTAACAACGTTCTAACGTTGTATAGCTATACATATATTGTGGGGATTAAAGGTGTGGTTCACTCATTTAATCCATACATTTGGATCAGTCTCTAGTAGGAATGAATGTGTTGTAAGTCGTTCTCGGGGGTGGAAATATAGCAGTGCACCATTTGCAGCAGCTAGCAGTGAACCACATCACACTTGAACTTCAAACGACAAGCTTTGTCGTTTTATTTCCTGATATTTTGAGTCCCAAAAAGAAAAACACCATTTGAAGTCACAAACAACAAAAGATGTTTGGAGCTAGAAAGCAGCGACTGGTGTTCAGCAATCTCTCGTTTCATCTGGCAACACGGGTGTCCGGTTTTGGCCGAAATGTTTCTGGGCAATTATCCAAGGGGAAAGGTGAGTGTTTGTGTTCAAAGCCTAGCTTGTTCTGTAGATTTGCTAAAGCAGCTTTAAATGCCAGCTGATGACCCAGAAAATATTGAGAAATAAACGTTTTCATTAATAAAGTCTATTTTTACAAAATGCTCTGAAATATTGTTTTAAATCTCAAAAATTACATAATTATCTGAGATAAATAATAAGAAAATAAACAAGGAAACTTCAAAGAGAAAAAAATTAAGAGAATAATAAATATTTTCAAGAAAAATTTACATTTCAGGAAACTTTCTGTTACTTTTCAAGTAAATAAATTATAAGATCAAATGTAAAACATCTAGTATATGAAACTTTAAGCTGGAGTGAGAAGATGGTGACACACTGGTATTTGCTGGTACTCCATCGTGGTTGGTAGTTTGAGTCCCTGCCCTGAATGAGAGGACTTTACGTTGGGGTATTTCACTTCCAGCTGATGACAAACAACCTCCCTAGTGAGGAGGAGTGATGGAGAAGGAGGTTTCTGAAGGAGTTACAGGAACAGAGAGCTGGTTGTAAAGCTTTAATCCTACGGCGGCTGCAGGTGGCTGACCTCCGACTTATCCCACTTAAAAGCTGATTGACTATTGTTAAAGACGTTAAGTAGAAAGAAGAGCAGCAGGGCTGTTATTTACCATGACAGGCAGGTGAGAGGGTTCAGCAGGAGAGTGGAACACTAGAGAGACAATCAGCTGAAAATCACAGACCTGCAGGAGGAATAATCTCTCCTGAGCTCTGATGATGAAAGTTACTCTAGCGTTCCTTCTCTGGGATCTACAGGAAATGTAATCATTAAGGTGTTCTGCTGAGCTGTGGTAGCCTCATGGAGGGGGCCATCAGCTAGCACACTGCTGCTAACCACTTAAACATTCTCACTCTCCTGATAATACCACTTTACTTTTTTGACATTGAATGTGCTACTACTAGTTTACTTGTTCACTACATTCACTAAGATGAAGACAATAAAGTTTATCTCTCACTAAATAGAATATTTACTAAGAAATCCCAATGTAGCCATAGAGCACTACTTGGTATAGGTGGTGGCACCACTTGGTAGAGGAGGAGGAGGAGGAGGAGGAGGAGGAGGAGGAGGAGGAGGAGGAGGAGGTGGTGGTGGTGGTGGTGGTGTGTGTGTGTGTGTGTGTGTGTGTGTGTGTGTGTGTTTGTCTGCTCTCGCTTCTCGATACTGAGCCAGGATCCTCTGGAGGTTTCTTCCTGTTAAAAGGGGTTTTTCCTCTCCACAGTCGCTGCTTGCTTGCTTAGTATGAGCTGACACTAGTCAGTGACTCGATGCAATCTGCTGGGTTCCTTATATAGGAAACTTCTGACTGATTGGCTTAATGAACTGACCTGTATTGGAATATTTACTACGTGAAGTACCTATATAAATAAACTGAATTGAATTAATGTTGTCTTGCTGGTTCCCTCTCAGGCTGCTGGTAAGTCTGTAGATCTGGACCTCTACGGCCTGGTGAAGGAGCATTACCTACTGCTCTTGTCAGACAGCACTCAGGGCCTAAATCACTCATAAAACCCCACAAGATGTCAGAGCACTGCAGGATAATCCTTTAACTGGAGTGAAAACTCCCAGGTCTCTCAAAACCAGAAAGTCTGTGAAGTGTTAGTGGCTCCAGAAGGTTCTGGAGCGCCAGAATTTCAGATCTAACAGGAATAAAAAACCGTCAGACTCACCGGTCCAGGTCCTTCTGAGGCCTGAACGCACAAAGAAAAACAAAAACACGGAACAGTTTCATCTCAGATTACAATCCACTTTTCATCAGCTTGGATTTAGGATTTCTTTCTCCTGAACGGCTCAGACCTGAATTCAATGATGTTGATGCTTTTGAAGCCTGGCAGCCGCTTAAAGCCATCTTCAACCTGTCGGGAGACACCGAGACAAAGGAGACAGGTCATCAGATCCTGAAGCTGTTACATTTTGACTCCATTAGAAAGAAAAACAATACTTTCCATCAGTAAAAGACTGTAATAATGACATTAGTGATTACTATTATTATTGTTTAGAGAAATTTAATTTAATTTAATGATCAACATCTTGTTCTATGAGGAACCTAAAGAAATCCAATAAAACTTTAAAAAGTTATTTTTAAAAGATCTAATGATCTAAAAACTCTGAAAACAATCCAGATGTGGGGATAACACTGTGTTGGATCTCAGTCAACCGTCCTATTAGATCTAATGAGCTTTGAAAGAAAAGCGTCTGGACTTCTTTGAGTTGCTTGAAGACGTTTCACCTCTCATCCGAGAGGCTTCTTCAGTTCTAAGGTCAAATGGTGGAGAGTCCCAGATTCAAACCCAGTGGGAGTTTCCCCCTGAAGAGGGAAATTCCTTTTAGATGTTTCCTTATGAAGACCTCAGGCCTCATTTATAAACCTTGCTTATGCACAAAACAGGGTCTAAAAACCGTGTCTATCATTTTCTTTGTGATTTAAAAGAAAAAGTCACAACTTTGAGCAAAGTCTGACGCACATTTTGGAGATGGGACTGAATTTGGCAGCACAGCTGATGGGATGGGACAAGCTACAGATATAGACTTGTCTCCCACCTCGTCTCAAATGTGTTACGATGAAGAGTTTTGTCACATTACATTCATACAGACGTCTTCAGGTTATATAGCGATTATGCTTATTGGTGCATTAATGGTGATGTATTCAGAGTGTGACATAAATTCTGCAGTGGCACTCATGCACAATGCTTCACAACAGATGCTATGGAACTCCTTGAAGATCGCATCTTTGGCAGGATCTGGACGAGAAGTTTTTAGAGACAATGATGAGGACGGGCTGGTCAGATGATTTAGATTCCCTACAGTCATCCCAGAAGGTCTCTGTGTTGAACTGCTCCTGGTGATGGACTGGCTGACCGGTCAGAACCGTGAAACCCCAGCACACCTACAGCTGCTGACCACTATCAGGTTTGCAACCTGGTTCCAGTGGGAGTTAGCTGGCAGGCGGGCTGGTATTTGTTTGATATGATGAACAATATCTGTCATTTCCTGCCTGAAGCCCTTTAGGGTTGAATTCAATGTTTTCATTTAATGTTAGTTTTAGATGTAGAACATCTCAGAAATTCCTGAGCACCATAATGCAGCCGTTTTGGAAGGTATCAGTGATTATCGCCATCTTCCTCTTTCCCTCCATCTTCAGATCTGACCACTTCTTTATGTTTTTTTTCTTTTTCATGTCTGCCGTGATCGCTCCGCAGCTCCACCGCACACAGCTCACCTCTGCAACAACAGTGCCTCAACCATACCCATGAGTAGTGCTGGGACGACAATCAATAAATCAAATAATCGTACGATAGATGAAAATGAACTCAAGAATTTTTCCAGCCTCAATATATCGAGGTTAAGAAATGTACAACTCTATTATTATTATTATTATTATTATTATTATTATTGTTTATTTTTTATATAGGCTATTGTAATTATTGTTTTGGAGAGGCAGGGTCAATGTTATTGTTTTTGGTGCAATATTTCTAACAGATGATGAAAAGTTTTGATTTATTTATTTATTTATTCTTTGTGTTATTTATTTAGAAGTTCTGGTTCTAGACATTCCAATGTTAAATAAATGGGTAACGCTTCCTTTTACAGTCCCCTAATAACTAAGTTCTTAAATGGTAATTACATAGTAAGTTACAGTGTATTATTGTTTCTGAGTTCTTTAACAGTTATTACCATGTAACTCAGGTTTAATTCTAGTTTCATTTTATTAATCATCCCCAGTAAATACTGCTTTACACAATAATTACACTTTATTACATTTATACACTTTAATTACACAATAATACACTTTAACTTACTATGTAATTACCATGTAAGTACTTAGTAATTAGGGGACTGTAAAAGAAGCGTTACCAATAAATGTTTACGGTTGCATTTTAAAGGGTGTACTTGCATTATTATGATACATTAACATTACATAAGTGGTTATTTTGGTCTCGACAATGTCAACAATAACATTGTTTATCGTCAATAATTTGTTCTACTGGCTCCACATTTTGTTTCTTTCAGCATCAGTCCCAGAGAACTGGGTCCAACTGAGTACCTATTCTTTTACATAAACTGCTTGGCCCTTCTAGCCTTGGGGTAAAGAAGGTAAGATGTTCCTCTAAAGCCCGTTGGACCTACACTCACCTTGTGTCTGAACTGTCGGGCCAGTTGCTGGTACTCAAAGCTGCTCGGGTCTCTCAGAGCATCATTAAAGGTTTCACCTTTCAGTTTGATCCTCAGCTCCACCACCTTGTCCTTCAGAGGCCGCTGGGGGCGAAGTGACGTGTCGTCAATCTCGTTACCAATCTGAGAAAAAGAGAGGTGGATTTCAGTGAGGTGTTACGGGGGCATTTCACAGGAAACGTAAATGTTGCGTAACGTCTATGAAACGTACTAAGCAGCAATTAGCTGTTGTTACAGTGGTTGGGTGTGTTTCCACTGGCTGCAAAGCGTCCCAGAAGTGTATGGCCGCGTAGCTTTCTATTTGAGTCTATTTTTACACGCTAGGCTTCCAGACTGTGTCAAATTCCACTGTCCTGATCGGGCCAGACAGATAGTCTAACATGAAAGCAGTGTAAAACATCTGGAAACTTTCAAAATAAAAGTTGCATGCAGTTTTTGAGTGCAGAACTATAAAAAAGTATGTATTTTCCAGTGAAACCTCCATTACCAAAGTTAAAAAGAACAGAAAATAAACCACAGACCTTTCTGGATGCACGCTGTCCTCTTTCCCTTGCATGATATCATGTAAACTGCAGAAATCACACGTGGTGTTGGAATTCTCTGGTGACCTTGTGGAACCAGTTACATAAAACGCTTTTACTGCCGATTGCATCTGAAATGCTCTCAGTGGGAAGAGAGCTCGTGGGTAATAAACATGTCTTTTACGTTACGCACCACTTACGCATCCAGTGGAAAGACTGGGTTAGCATGTTCTATCAGCTAGCATGGATTTGCTTACCAAGTTTTCCCTCTCGGCCAACAAGCCATTGTTTCCAAGTAAAAGGTCTTCTTCAGAGGGTAGCTCTGTTGGATCCGGGAAGTTGCCGTTGTTGGTTTCCATGACATGCTTGGTTATCACCTCTACAGTGGAAGCATGGATAGCCACCCCAGGCCCTCCTACAGTTGTTCTCTCCGCTGTGACTTCTTCTGTTGTCTCAAGGATGATTCCATCGTCTGACTCTTCAGTTCTGTCTGCTGCAGACTCATAAGTGACTTCAACATCTTCAGCTGGAGAAAGAACTACCTGAACAAGGTCCTCACTTGGTACAAAATCTTCAGTGGGACGCTCTTCAGAACCAAGCTCTCTGGTGGTTTCTTCCCCTGAAGTCAACCATTGATGGACTTCAGTCATAGTTTCACTTGGACCTCGAAGTTCAGGAATATCTTCAGTGACTTTCAGTTCAGGGGAAGTGATCTTTATGGTGGTTTCTGGTAAAATGTCCACATCAGAACCTGCTGGAGAACTGATGGTTGTCCCTGGTTCAGGTGTTTCATTCACCACAGTAAATGGGAATAATTCTTCTACATCCTCTGGAACAACAGCAACTACCGGAGTGACCTCATCTTCAGATTCTATAGGGGTGTCTGGTTCCATCGAGTCTACAGCTTCCGTTTCTGCTTTGTCCTCCAAAATCCCTTTGGTCTCAGATGTTCTGTCTTCTCTATTTTCCAGTAGTTCCCCTTCAGACATTTCTTTTTTGATATCTACAGATGTTTGATAAACATCAGTTTCATCCTCATGAGGTTCTACCTCTGGTTTAGATTCTTTGGCATGCTCCTCTGTGATCCTCTTTTCTCCTGCAATTTCTTCTATAGATTTGTCTTCTGCTTGTTCTCTGGTGGGTTCTGCTTCTTCAGTTGGTTCTCTGGTGGGTTCTGCACCTTTAATTGATTCTCTAGTGATTTCTGCATCTTTAGTTGGTTCTCTAGTGGGTTCTGCATCTTCAGTTGGTTCTCTGGTGGGTTCTGCACCTTTAATTGATTCTCTAGTGATTTCTGCATCTTTAGTTGGTTCTCTAGTGGGTTCTGCATGTTCAGTTGGTTCTCTAGTCAGTTCTGCACATTTAATTGTTTCTCTAGTGATTTCTGCATCTTCAGTTGGTTCTCTAGTGATTTCTGCTTCTTTAGCTGGTTCTGTTATGAGTTCTGCATCTTTAGTTGGTTCTCTAGTGGGTTCTGCATCCTTAGCTGGTACTCTAGTGAGTTCTGCTTCTTTAGTTGGTTCTCTTGTGGGTTCTGCACCTTTAATTGATTCTCTAGTGGGTTCTGCATCCTTAGCTGGTACTCTAGTGAGTTCTGCTTCTTTAGTTGGTTCTCTTGTGGGTTCAGCAACTTTGATTGATTCTCTAGTGGGTTCTGCTTTTTTAAATGGTTCTCTTGTGGGTTCTGCTTCTTCAGTTGGTTCTCTTGTGGATTCTGCTTCTTCAGTTGGTTCTCTTGTGGGTTCTGCATCTTTAATTGATTCTCTAGTGAGTTCTGCTTTTTTAATTGGTTCTCTTGTGGGTTCTGCTTCTTCAGTTGGTTCTCTTGTGGGTTCTGCTTCTTCAGTTGGTTCTCTTGTGGATTCTGCTTCTTCAGTTGGTTCTCTTGTGGGTTCTGCATCTTTAATTGATTCTCTAGTGGGTTCTGCTTTTTTAATTGGTTCTCTTGTGGGTTCTGCTTCTTCAGTTGGTTCTCTTGTGGGTTCTGCATCTTTAATTGATTCTCTAGTGGGTTCTGCTTTTTTAATTGGTTCTCTTGTGGGTTCTGCTTCTTCAGTTGGTTCTCTAGTGGGTTCTGCATCTTCAGTTGGTTCTCTAGTGGGTTCTGCTTCTTCAGCTGGTTCTCTTGTGGGTTCTGCATCTTTAATTGATTCTCTAGTGGGTTCTGCATTTTTAATTGGTTCTCTTGTGGGTTCTGCTTCTTCAGTTGGTTCTCTAGTGGGTTCTGCATCTTCAGTTGGTTCTGCTTCTTCAGCTGGTTCTCTTGTGGTTTCAGCAACTTTGATTGATGCTCTAGTGGGTTCTGCTATTTTAATTGGTTCTCTTGTGGGTTCTGCTTCTTCAGTTGGTTCTCTTGTGGGTTCTGCATCTTTAATTGATTCTCTAGTGGGCTCTGCTTTTTTAATTGGTTCTCTTGTGGGTTCTGCTTCTTCAGTTGGTTCTCTTGTGGGTTCTGCATCTTTAATTGATTCTCTAGTGGGTTCTGCTTTTTTAGTTGATTCTCTTGTGGGTTCTGCATCTCTAATAGATTCTCTAGTGGGTTCTGTGTCTTTAGTTGGTTCTCTAGCAGGTTCTGCTTCTTTAGTTGGTTCTCTTGTGGGTTCTGAGTCTTTAATTGATTCTCTAGCGGGTTCTGTGTCTTTAGTTGGTTCTCTTGTGGGTTCTGCATCTCTAATAGATTCTCTAGTGGGTTCTGTGTCTTTAGTTGGTTCTCTAGTGGGTTCTGCTTCTTTAATTGGTTCTCTTTTGGGTTCTGCATCTCTAATAGATTCTCTAGTGGGTTCTGTGTCTTTAGTTGGTTCTCTAGTGGGTTCTGCTTCTTTAGTTGGTTCTCCTGTGGGTTCTGCATCTCTAATAGATTCTTTAGTGGTTTCTGTGTCTTTAGTTGGTTCTGTAGTGGGTTCTGCTTCTTTAGCTGGTTCTCTTGTGAGCTGTTCTTCTTTCGATGGTTCTCTAGTGGGCTCTGTTTCTTTGGCCTGTTGTTGAATGCGTTCTAGTTCTTCTGCTTGTTTACTTGTGGATTCTGCGGGGTCAGTGCCTGTTTCCGGTATTGTTTCTTTCATGGGTCTTGTTTCTTCAGCTGGTTTAGTTGTTGCTTCTGTTTCTGGTGAGGATTCAGTAATAAAATCAATGTTTTGGACTAGTTCTTTTATCAGAAGTTCTGTAGTGGTTCCTGTTTTTGATTGTAAAACGTCTGCCTCTTGTACACTTTCTTCTGAGGGGTATCCTTCACTTGCTGGTTCTCTGGAAGAATCTACTACTTGTTTTGGTTTTTCAGAGGGCTGCAGAACATGTACCGATTCTTGAGATGGCTCCGGTACCTTTACTGGATCTTTTGTGGGTTGCGGTACTTCTGTTGGTTCTTGAGATGGTTCTTGTACCTGTATTGGTTGTTTTGTGGGTTGTGGTATCAGTGGTTTTTCATTTGTGAGTTCTAGTACCGTTACAGGTTTTTGAGATGGTTCGTGTGCCTTTATTGGTTCTTTTGTGGGTTCTAGTACCTGTACTGGTCCTTTTGTGTGGTGTAGTACCTGTACTGATTCTTGTGATGGTTCTGGTACCTTTACTGGTTTTTTTGTGGGTTCTTGTACCTGTATTGGTTCTTTTCTGGGTTCTAGTACCTGTATTGGTCCTTTTGTGGGTTCTAGTACATGTACTGGTTCTAGTGCCTGTAGTGGTCCTTTGGTAGGTTCTTGTAATTTAGTTTTGGTTGTCTGTTCCGTGAGTTCTGTTTGCTGAGTTGATTCTTTTGTGACTTTTATTTCTGTTTCTAGTTGCCCCGTAGGTTCAGATCTTTGTGGAGGTCTTTCTGTGGTTCTTGGTTTTTCTTCTGCAACTCCAGCTTCTGTTGCTGGTTCTAATGGTTGTTCTGGTAATTCTTTAGATGCAGACTCTGTTGCTGATTCAACTGAAGACAGAGTTCTTTCTGAAGCTTGTTTATCAGTTTTCACTTCATGTGTTGGTTCCTCTGTGTGTTTTCTAGCAGGTTCTGCTTCTGGTGATACTTCTGCTGTTATTTCTGAAGGTTGTAATTCTTTTGTAACACCTCCAGAAGGTTCTGTTGGTGTTGCTTGTTCTTCAGGTTGCGACTCCTCAATAACATTGAGTTTTTCTTGTTCATCAGGCCCTGGAAATGTTTCAGGTGTATCTGTGCCTTTAACAGGTTTTGGTGGAGCTTCTGTAGATTCCTCCACTGTAACAGCTGTTCTATCTGGTTCTACTGATATATCTTCTGTCTGAAGTGTCTCATCAGCTGATTTATCTTCACTAACAGAAATTTGGCCATGTTGCTCTCCAACCTGCTCTTCCTCTTTAGGCTTTGATGGAACAAAAACATCTTTTTTAAAGGTTTCCTCGACAATAATTGTCCCAACTGTTGGACTTTCTTCAGCAACATCTACGTCTTTATCATCATGTGAAATCAGAGTGGCTTCAGAAGTTACCCCAAAAATGTCTGCTGGTCTGTCTTCTCCAGGTTTGTCGAGTGTTTCAGGTTCCATCTCGCTTGTGGTTGTCAGGATGGAGACATGAGACAAAACTTCTCCTGCAAGCTCCTGTTCTGGAAGCTCATTTCCAGTTATGTCAGCTTCCTCTTCTGGATCTACCATCATAAACATGGTTGGTGTTGCCTCCATGGCAACCTTGGTTTCATCTCTGCTAACCTCTACAGCTGCCTCCGAAGGATGTTCTACCTGTAGCGTTTGGATGTTACCTTCAGACTCCAGAGAAACAGATGCTTGAGGAGCATGAGGCAAAGTTTCGTTCTTTAATTTATGTAAAATCTCAGTAGGATCTGCTAAATCTTCCCCAGGAAGAGCACCATCAGGGATGGTATCGAAATAATTATCTTCAAAGTCTTTAACTCCCGGTATCAGAAAACCTTTGGTAGTTGTTTCAAGGGGAACTTCAGTGATCTCCTTCAGAGGTCCCTCTGAGAAGGTTTCTTTTGGAAGTGTTACGCTTGGCTTTTGAAGAACATCCGCTTTTGTGGGGTGTACTGGTGCATCACTCTCAGATGACGGCTCATCTTCTTCTGGGTTTAACAAATTAATCTCCTCTGAGTCTTCAGGAATATTTGGTAGGACCTTGTCCAGATCTGGTAGAGTTTTATCTTCATTAGCTTCCTCGTCCATCCCACTAAAGGGCTGGTGTGGAACGGAGTAAACAACCTCTGAGGTCACCTCCACAGTCTCTTTAGCAGTGTCTCCAACATTTAAACTCTCTGAATAAACGGTGACCTGAGCTGGACTTTGTGAAGTCAAGCCACCTTCATTGTCCAGGATATCATTAGAGTCTTCAGGCGCATCTTCAGCAGCAGAGTCAGAGGTTAAATCCTTGGGAATCCCGGTGAGAGTTGTCGTTGCTGCTTCTTGAAGGTGGCCTTCAGTCACAGAGAGTGATGGGGTCCAAGACACCAATCCAAACCCAGGAGATGGCTTTTCCTGATTCATCATCTCCAACCCTGGAAAACAGCATCAGGAGAAAAGAGATTTTTTAAATACACATTCAACATCAAACATGTTTGAACATCTCATGAATGAATGAATGAAATGGTTCCTGTCTGTTGATAATTAAGATTAGCAGCACGCTGAATTAAAAAGAACCTATGATCTCACTAACCCTGATAGTTGTCCTGCAGTAACATCACCATGTCTACATCCCTGCTGCTCCGCGTCCACCCATTGACCAGGCCGCTGTCCGTAAACGGGCTTACAGATCTATTCTGAGAAGTGAACGTGTGATGGGAATCAGCCTCCTGAACTCCACCCCGCCCCTCGTAAGTCAGATTGGGGTGTAAGGTGAGGAACAAAGCAAACCTGAGCGTCAAAATACACGGTCCAGTTCCACCCATCAGGTGGGTGGGGGAGGGGCTTAAGATCGACTTACAAAGGGTCAACTAAAGTTCAACGGTAGAGGCAATAATCTCTGTGGACATCCAGTCCCTTCATGAAGATAAACTTTAACATCCGTTCATAGATTAGCTGGTTTGACTGGACCCAGTGATCACTTGCTTTGTTTGTTTAAGGATCTTCTGAAGAGGCTCCAACACTCTCCTTCTTTAACTACAGCTACAGACATTTTCTGCTTCAGTGTTTTTAGACCTTTCTCTCAGATGTTTTGTATGGTTACTGAAGTAGGACTAAACAGTTTGGAAGTTTCAAAGTATATATATTTTTTTGATGACATGACATTAATTCTAAGGGTCCACATGTATTAAGGTCTGGGGAGTTTCCTTGAAATCAATCCAACATGTTGCTTTGTTCCAGATTCACTGAGTTCTGACTTTAGCCTTCAGGCCCAGGGCTATTTCACACGGGAGAAGACACTGTTCATTAGGGCTGTCGCAATAATCGCAAGAACAATATATATCGCGATATTAAGAAACCCACCGCGCTGCATGACGTGCCACCGCAATTACCACACTTGATTAAATCTTGCGACAGCGCATGCTGAGAGGTAAAGTCCGCGCTGATCGAGGAGATAGTAGGGCACTTTTTTTTATTTCTGTTAGACGTTGCAGCCAAATTTGCATTTCAAAGTTAAACCTCCTGAATGTTGTTTTTAAGTTCAGTCAGAGAATGCCGTTACTGCCCTTTGATCTACATTCAATAAAGTGTTAAAAATGGCCATGTATTTTTTTCTAACATTTTTTAAATGTGTAAGCACAATGTTTCAAAGGAAATATTGCCATGAGTTTAGTAATGAACAAACAAATTTGCTAAGTACATAAATAAAAACGGGGTGCAATAATATCGCATATCGCAATATTGAGCTGCCCTGACTCACCGCAGGGGGAATTCCTCAATCGCGACAGCCCTACTGTTCATCACCAAACTGTTGTTGGATGGTTGGAGGAGTTCCTCTGGGAACTCTTTAGGTACCGTTCTCTATTCATGACTATGTTCCGAAGCAAAACTGTGAGTGAGTCTACGCCCTTGGCTGAGAGGTGTGCGTGCGCACACACACAGACACACGCGCGCGCACACACACCGCACGCACACACACACCGTGCACGCGCGCACGCACACACCGCGCGTGCGTGCGCGCACACACACACATCTCCTCACTGTGCAGAAGATGGATGCAGACCTAGAGCCACCATTAAGTAAGTACATTTTATTTATATAACACTTATCACAGACATAGAATCACAAAGTGCTTCACATAGATCAAAACAAAATAAAACAAAGTCATAAAATCAAAATGCTCTCAAAACAGAATCAGATTAACGTCAGAAAAAATAAAATCCTAAAATTATAAAATTTCATAAACAGATGAAGGATTAAAAATTTGAGTTAAAAATAAGAAAATAAAAGATTTAGGTCAAAGCAGCTTTAAATAAAAGGGTCTTTAGCTGTTTTTTAAAAGTGTCCAGACTGTCAGTGCTGCGTACGGATGAAGGAAGATCATTTCAGAGTCGTAAATTTCTTCCATTTGTGAGAAAGTTCTGCACTGGGGGAATTTCAGGAGTTCTAGGTCAGATTTAGGAGACGTTCTGCTGCTGATGGGTTTACTTGGAACACTGAAGCCTTTTTGTTAGAATTGTGAAAATGTTTCTTAGTTTGTTTTCTTTTGAATTTCTCATATCAGTCAGAACAATCATGAAAACTGAAGCAGAAAACTTAGAGATTAATTGTGTTTTAGTCTTTCTCATCTGTAAAAAAAAACAAATTCTCATCAGGAGTTCCAGATCTTCTCTATTGTTATTGTGTGGTTTCTATTTCTGGTGGTTATTAAAGCTCTGAACTGAAGGGACGTTGCCAGTAAGCTCAGAAGTTAGTTATGCTACACTGTTTCTGACACCGGTTGATGAAAGAGTCTACAGTAAAGTTGTTTTTGGAACAATATCATCAAGAATCAAGTACTGTAACATCTGAAGGTCAGAAAAGCTCGGAATACAGTGTAGTAAGTGTTAAGAGTGCTAACCCTGTTTTTATGAGCTAATTAGAACATCCTCTTTTTGTTCTGAAACACTTACCGGGAGGAGTCTCCATCTGCGTGTCTCCAGCCCGTACTGGTTCTGAGCTGCAGAACAAACACAAGATGGTTCCATTACAGATGTGAGCAAAGAAAACATAAAACACAATTATTAAAGACTGTAAGATGAAAGGACTAATTCATATGTGGGTGAGTAAAAAAGGGGAATTTTCCTTATACATATATATATATATATATACATATATATATATATATATATATATATATATATATATATACATATATATACATATATATACATATATATATATATATATATATATATATATATATATATATATATATATATATATATATATATATATATATACATATATATATATATATATACATATATATATATACATATACATATATATATATATATATATATATATATATACATATATATATATATACATATACATATATATACATATATATATATATATATATATATATACATATATATATATACATATACATATATATACATATATATATATACATATATATATATATACATATACATATACATATATATATATATATATATATATATGTATATGTATATGTATATATATATATATATATATATATATATATATATATATATATACATATATATATATATATATACATATACATATATATACATATATATATATATACATATATATATATATATATACATATACATATACATATATATATATATATACATATATGTATCAGACGTCAAGCTAAACAGTCACTCGACAGACAGGGTTAAAAAAATATGATCGACCTTTTTCCCCATCACTTTCATTTTTTAAATAGTAATTAAACATTCAATACCATTACAATTTCCTTTGATTTAATTTTAAATAAATATTTAGAGTGCCCAGGTAGCACATCAACAATGCAATTTAACAGTTTTCTTAAAGTAGGAACGTTTAACTTGTGCGGCCAGAGCGCTCTGCTTCCTTCTGCTCTGCATAAACCTGAACTGGTCACCTACTTGTGCGTAATCAAATGTCTATAGGGGAAAAGATGGTTAAAGGTATAAACATGAGGTTCACTTTTGCCTAAGACCGACTTTTTGCTGTTTTATGGTGTGGCTGAATCTGCGATCCGCTGCCACACGGACTGGAATAACAAATGCTGCAGCAACGAGTTGTAGTCAGGTTCGGAGTCACTGGCTGGAGCGGACCCGACTTTAATACGTCATCCCAAAATAAAGCTAATATCTTAATATGACATTTAATGAAAAATGTTGTTATAAAACCTCTTAAAAGTTTTTATCACGGAGGAGGCGGCGCTCATTTCTGCCTTCAGTCTGACGGCACAGCGCAGCGCCGGAGTTTGAGCAGCATGCGCTTATTGAATCTGTGTGTGTGTGTGTGTGTGCGTGCGTGCGTGCGTGTGTGTGTGTCCATTAGCCGCTCCAGTCACTGCGTCTCGTTATTAGCGCTATTTAAACCAATGTTGTAAAATTACTTCTGCCCAGCCCAGATGTGCTCACATGTCCACCCGTGAGCCGTGGTTCCGCTGGAAAGCGTCTGACCTCTGACAGAAGCACTCTGAACTTCAGATCTTCAGCGCGCTGTTAATAGCCTGACACGTTTAGAATGCTGTCCCACAGTCAGTGTGCTAATATAATAATATAATAATGCTAAACTGCTCAGATGGGAATCATTTCTTGATTTATTTTGTTACATCCACAATGTTCTGTGTGTGAGGTTTACAATGTCAGAACACCTGCATGAGACAGGGTGTTGATTACAATCTGCCAGAATGACTCACCTTCAGATTTCTCCAACACCGTTAAAAATGATCAAATACGGAACATATCGGCGTGCGCAGGCCAGAGTGCTGAAGCTCGGCGCATTGTTATTATGAAGCTAGGGCACATGCGGAGGACACACACACACCGCACGCACACACACCGTGCACGTGCGCACGCACACACATCTCCTCACTGTGCAGAAGATGGATCCAGACCTAGAGCCACCATTAAGTAAGTACATTTTATTTATATAGCACAACGAGTTTGTGGTACACACACACACACCTTTAGTTAGTGAGCGTTGGTGCTACTCACACTTTTATCACACAGAGAATTGTTGACTCCTACTCTTTAAGGTCCAATGATCAGCTGTTGCTCTCTGTCCCATTTGCTCGTACAGAGCTTGGGAAGAAAGCCTTTTCCTATTCAGCTCCTTCTGCATGGAACCTGCTGCAGAAAGACTGGAAACTGACTGAACTAGTTTCCTTAAAGGAATTCAAAAGCAAGCTGAAGACCACACCAGTAATCAGAGACCACACCGGTAATTTGTTTATATGATCTATGATATTTTACCACTGCTTTTATGTTGTAACTGTTTGAAATGTTGCTTCCTCTTGGCCAGCACGCCCTTGTAAAAGAGTTTAATCTCACTGTGACTTTTTATCTCCTGGTTAAATAAAGGTTAGAAGAGAAAACCTTTAGTTAGTGAGTGTTGGTGTGCTGTGCTGAACTACTGGGTTGCTGTATAGTGCTGAGAGCTATTGAATGACTGATTAGTAGATATGTGTGAATAAAAACATTAATCAAGCCAAACGTTACATTTATTTAGAAATATGGCAAAGTATAGTCTATAAAGTAGATTAAAGTTTTATTTTAAAGAGGTAAACACTGAAACTCCACTAATGGAGTGATACATTTCTAATAGATTATTAAATCCTAAATCCAGTCACAAGTCATCCCAGGTTGTTACTAACCTGTTCACTGCTGCAGCCAAAGCAACTCTCTGAAAAACACAAACACATCAAATGTTCAAACATTTAATCACTATTGTTTTTTTAGATCATTTAAATTAGTTTTTTTTAATCTACATTCGTTTTATTCTTTAGCTCGTTTTTAGCTCCTTCCCTAGCTCATGGTCACCGAATAAAGAAACACCAAAGACAAAATGATGAGCTCACACTCCTGATGAGGGCTTTGTGCTCCTCTGATTGGCCGAAGGACCTGCCGATATCTTTGATGCTGACGGAGCCATTGATGCAGTGGTTCACCCAGTTCTGGTACTCATCCAGCTCTGGCAGCCGGTCCCAGAAGATCTTGAAGGCCTCCCACACTGTCTCCTGACAAACTAAAACAAAGAACAGCATGTTAGTAACTAGACTTAGAGGGAGGTGAATTTTGTCCCCAGTAGAATAAAGACAGCTGGGGCCTCATTTATCAAGCTTGCTTACACACAAAACGGGGTCGGAAAACTGCGTAAGCAACTTTCCACGCAAACTTTGGGATTTATGAAAGAAAACTTAGCAGAAAAATGTGTGCAAAGTTTAGTTGACTAAGGACCTGGCTTACACACATGTTGGACATGTAGAGCACCTGCAGTGCTGCTGCTGAGAAGATACAATTATGAAATCCTGCAGCATTATCACTTGTACTGCTTCGTTTTCACACAGAACAAGACCTCCCCCCCCCCCCCCCCCCCCACACACACACACACACACGCGCACGCACACACACAGCCTGAAGCGCAGAATACGGAATGCAGAATATCAGCAGGGGGACAGATTGAGACAGAATGTCATGCGTCTGTGACGGCGTGTGTGTGTCATGTCACTGTGACCCGATTGATCATGCGCCCTGGCTACTTGTGCAGGGGAGATCTCTGTTTGGCTGACTGGTTAGCACACGTGACTTTCACCCGGGAGTCTGGGGATTGAATCCCGATTGGACCCTTTTTTTATATCCACCACAGATCTCTCTGAAGAACTCAGCACTGACGGCTTCAGCAACGCTGTGCCACTCCGTGGATTTTCTCTTATTTGTTTTGCAAAAGCACTTCCTTTCATTTCTCCACCTCACCCACAAGTACCTCAATTTCTGCTTCTGTTAAATTGCGCTTCTTTGATCTGCCTTGATCTGCGGTCGCCATCGTCATTGGCGGAGCGCTGCAACAGCCGGCTTATGAATATGCATGAGATCCACAAGGCACTCTGCATTGACCATTTATGGCAGAAAGTGGGCGTGGTGAGGGCGGGATGTGACTAAAATGCAGCTGAGAAACATTCTAGATAGTCTCAGATTTATGAAGCAGAGATTGCGTGCAGCTGTGCGTACTCCATGCTTGATAGATCACAAACCTGCTTGGTGTAAGTACATTTTTTTTGCTGAGCTTAAGTACGGTTTTAGTCAGGATTCTGTGCAATGTTTGATAAATGAGACCCCGGGTCTGTTTCATTTCAGTAGCACAGTAAGGATGAAGACCAGGGAGGGATCTACTGCTGTGGTGAACTCATTCTGAATATGAAATCCAAATTTTTGTTTTTATTAGTATCCTGTAACATAAAGCTACAGTTATAATACTAAAGGTGATGATTGAAGTCTGTCCAACTCATAAATCAGACTCATGTTAAAACTAGAGGGTAAGAGAGTCTTTAAGAAGGTCGTGAGGAGCATCTGCTCTGTTTGACTTCTCACCTCTGACATGGGATGCCTTCATGTTGGCAGTCTCTCTGTTTAAGCCCGTAAGCTGCAGAGAAACGGCCTGTAGAATCAAAACCCCACGAACAGAACCGAAGCACCTTACCTCGAAGGTGAAAGAACTTCAGGTGGCTCTGGACAGCCTGGTCCAACGTCTCCTGGGAGCAGAGCTTCACTCCGCTGGGAAACAGGATGTTCCTCCTCCTTCGGGTCAGAACTGAGTGTGTTCTGAATGAAAGCTGATCCGAGTCCAAAGAGCCGGTGGCTCGGTCCAAACCCACCACAGAGTTATGACCGGAATCTGTCCGAAACCAGAACCAGCAGTCAAACTTCCAGTTGAACGTCTGAATCAGGGCTGAAACTCTGATGGATCTGAGCCTGAATCATGGCTGAAAAGGTCTCATTCAGACACATCCGGCTACTTTTATTCTGTTTTAGCTTCTCCTGCAGGCCCTCTGAGGGACCTTGACCCTCAGCTAGAACCCAACAAACATCCGACGACAACAGAGGAGCTTCACACTCACCTGTTCCTGAGCCCAGGAGCCCCGTCAGCAGCACGGCCCACAGCAGCACCCACAGCGCCACGCACTTCCTGGACATCTTCCTCCAAACACAGCAGCTCCTTACCTCCACCTGCTTGTCCCTCGTCTGGCTCTCATGGCAGAAGTAGAAGAAGAGGGAGCGGCAGCTGCGGCGTCTTGCTCTCAGGTGAGCAGATGGACTTCTCTGGCGCTGCTGGAGATTTCTTCCTCTGCTCTCTAATCCTATTTGTTAAGCTGAAGGAGTGGATGAATGTCAGCGGTCCGACGGATCTGATCTGAACCCAGATCAGCAGCAAACGACTCACAAACACAAACTGATGCTCAACTTTGTGTCAACCATGGATCCATCTTTAGAAGATCTATAAATAAAAAGCTGAAACCTAAAACAAACCTGTATGTATGACCTTCTCTTAACTTTTATTCTAATAATGCAGCATTGAGACAACATGATAATATCAATAATAAAACAATAAAGCACATGTTCTACAAACAAACAACAAACATTAGATTCTATTTTACACCATGAAGCATCAAATGTTTAGATTTAGCTTCTCGGACTGATGCTGCTGAGTCGCTACGAGAACAGATCAGGTGATTTATTTTAAAAATGATAATCGGGCCGGTCCAGACTGTAATCCGGGCCCCTCAGCCTCAGCAGACATCTTTTATTGGATAATAGGATTAACGGGAAGGAGAGGCGATGAGACGAAACGACAACACAAAGATCACATTTAGTCCTGATCAGACAAAAGCTGCTCAAAATAACTACAGCTGGATATTTAAACATGAAGTAACAAATAAAGTTCTGGTTCTGACAGAACCCTGGATCGGGGCTCTCTCATCAGAACTCGCTGAGATTCTTTTAGGATGGAACTTCATGGAAACCCTAAATATGTCTGATATTAACCTTGCAGAACTCAGAACATCATCTATAAAGAAAATGGTGCTTGGTAAAAACCCAGATTAGGACCAGAAATGGACCGGACCTGCCCGTCCGACTTACGACACATAATTTTTGAGCTCAATAAAGAACGGGCCGGTTTCCAGATGAGATCATCGGTCGGATGGAGTCGCTGTTGTGTCTCATAAAACCTCTTCAGCCAGGAGACCCTCCAGCTCATCCACTTAATAATCTGTAAGCTGATTGGTCCACAGCGGGGGGCGGAGCTAAACCCCAGATTACCCAACTGATTTCAGACACACGCACACACACTCCAGGTACACAGCTTTAAAAACAGGATCCAGTATAAAAACTAAATGACCTTTGACACCGACACATTGAGTGAGCCGTGACCTCTGACCTCGGCCCACACTGAAGCCAAACAAGTGGCGCTCGCTGCAGGACCACAAAGGCGGAGCTGCACCAGAAGGTGGAGCTGCACCAGTCAGCCCCGCCCATTCCTGAGTCTGCCCCGCCCATTCCATCAGAGTCAGTCCAATTCCTTCCCGTTGTCAGACTTAATAGCATTCTGGAACCAAAGAGGGTGTTATAGCTAACATCGTCTAAAATGCAAGATTGAGGACGGAGTTGAGAGGTTAACTGGACAGTTTTTTTAAAGCTTCCATATAATAAAAAATCTAACTTTTGGAACTTTTTATCATGTTATATTGTCATTTCCTCATAAGAAACACGCCAAAGCCATTTTTGGCCTCATTCACGCATTTTCCTCCCATCTCAGCTTCAATTTGGTCCTCTCCTCCGAAGCGGGTCTGGTCTTGGTTCTCAAATCTGGATGTTCTGTGAATTTTCTGACAAATTATCTCTCAAATGACTTCTACTGAGACACCGCCGAAAAACCATACATCCCATCTACAAAAACACACTGGATGGCACAATTACATGTAACGCCACTACCTTGTTATCAGACGTAGTGGTAAAGTGATTGTGTGGTCAGCTTGGGATGTAGTTTTGCGCAGGTTCGCCTCCCGGTAGTGGCGCAAACTTTTTTCTTCTTTTCTAGCTGTACTTGCCAGTACTATGTTTACAACAATTTATTGGTATACCGTTTACAATATAATGACTAATGTGTTTTTTTGTTTTATTTATTCGTTTATTCAGCCAGTGTGAGTCCATTTGTGAGCAGAGTTTCAACTAAAATGCTGTTTAGGAACGACCAAATTCAAAGAACTTTTAGAGACATAAATATTTTGCAGAAAATAAACATTACAACTAAAATATAAACAAATTAAATGTTTCAGCTGGCTAAATAGATAGCTGCCGACCCCATCGAGAGTCGAACCAGCATCAGCTGAGGGGAAAGCAGAATTTAAGTGAGACAATGTTGCCACTAGACTACCAGAACCCACCAAATAATTGTCCTTAAATGCTCTTCTAGGCTGGTTCTGTTGGAGTGGCTGTGGACAGATATTCGCTAAAAGAAACCTTTTCGTTTCGGGATATATTCAGGCTTTGTCATGTAGCAAGTTATATTTATCTTGTTTAATTGGAGCATAGAACATAGCATTAACATTTGTAAAGTAGTAACAACCGTAATTTATGTGGGTCAGGTTAGTTTGCGATAAAATAAAATAAATAAATAAATAAACAGAAGAAGTCAGTGGGCTAGGCTGTTTGCGTGAGTGGGCGGGGCTGACTCTGGTGCAGCTCCGCCTTTGTGGTTCTGCAGCGAGCACCCTCTCAAGCCAAAACCTCTCTCCTCTCAGATCAGAACTGATTAATCAATGACAGAACCATGTAGATCCTACACAATAAGAGCCAGATCCTTCAGAGGAAAACTGAATGCTTTTATTTTATCAAACTTTATCAGTAAAATCAACTTATAAAATTATTTACATTCACGGCAAAAAGGAAAGCTCTAAAGATTTTATTTAGAATCGGTCATCAACTCGGAGAGGTTACTGGTTTTATATCGTCCGTCTGGCTCTGCTGAAGCCTCATGATCAGCCTCCGGATGTCCTCGCGCTTCTGCCTCACTTGTTGCCGTGGAAACCAGCTGTCCAATCGCACTGGGAGGTCAAAGTGCACCACGGGGTTCTGAGGAGCCAATCAGAGAGCTGGATTCAGATTCAAAGAGGTGTGTTTTTAAAGCACGGCTGTTTGATAATTCTGGACTTTTCGTATATTAGGTTATTTTAATTCGTTTTCCTTATTTTAACAAGTCAAACGTTCCTTCTTACGATCTGACATAAACAAACTCGTATAGAGGACGATTCTTATCGAGACATTTGACTTTTAAGAAAAAAATGTAAAGTGTGTCTCGTTTAATCAACACGTCTGCAGTGGTCTCTAGTAGGAATGAATGCCTTGTAAGTTGTATTCTGGGGAAACAAAGCTCTGGTGCACGAGTTTCAGTAACTAGAAGTGAGCCACATCAGAGTTGAGCTGAACATGGCAGTATTTGTAGTCTTAAGCCTGATTTATACTTCTCCGTCAGCTCCACGAGGGAAAGACGCATCGACAGATGTTTTGGTTTCAGACTTCTCAGTCAGCTGATGATTGTTGCAAAACAATTCCCCACCAGGACAACAGAGAGCGTATTGCTGTTCTGAGGTATCCTGCCACCATTACAGTCATGTAGCTGGTCCACGACGGTGTAGTTACTATTGTGTTTACATTGTTCTAATGTGTTTCTGGGATTTTTTAACACAGGCAAATTTTTGCCTCATCTCCCTCCTCCTCTTCATGTGATCGGCATCTCTAAACTTGTGTTTCTTGTCTTTTCCGTCCACAAATAAAACGCCCGCTGCATATTTTTGTACTCCTTCAGTCACGGGTGAATGAACGTTCATATTTTCAGACTTTTTCCGCGATGCGTTCTTCAATCTGCTCATTGTCTGCCGCCAAATATCTCTTTGTTTTTTGAAGCGGCAGAGACAGTGCTGTTGACGAATGAAAACAGGAAGCAGCGTGCTGACCAATCACAAGCTTGCGGTCTCCATCTTTCGGCAGATGGTTAAAATTCGGGGCACGTCTTCGTCTTCCTCTGCAAGACCATCAGAGGGCTCTTGCATCAACGCATAATGGTGTTGCGTGAGTCTGTCCCAACGCAGGTGAAGTATTAATTAGGCTTTATACCCTGATATTTGGACATCTCACCTCTGATTGGCTAACAGCATCGTGACTGTACCACTGACTCTGTTTGCTCTGTATTGTTGCTGGTGAATGTTCTCCGTCATCCAGGTCACGGTACTCCAAAAGGGTTCGAATGCAGGCAACTGGACTCCTTTGGTTTCTTGAAAAAGTTTTGCTTCTCATCCGAGGTTGCTCGGATGAGAAGCAAAACGTCTTTGGATTACTCTGCATTGTTGATGTTTTATCTCCACAAATGACACAAGCCTGGAGGAATTCTGCTGTGTGGTGGAGTTGCTAATGCTGGCGGTTAGCTTCTACTAGTCGAGACGTTCTCTGCCGCTTTCTGGACGCTAAACCAACAACAGCCTTCCCCATCGTGAGCCAAGGCGGGTGAGTCCATGAACGTTAAGTGACAGTGTGACGTACGTTGTGATATTCATTAGAGGCCATATCGCCCAGCCCTACTCAGAGTGACAGATTATAATCAGAAATAGGATTTAAAAAATGCTTTTCAGTGATCCACACCTTCACATATCTGTCCTCTTGTCTTGCTCTGAGCCCAAGTGTTTGAAATTATTTTAATTTCTTCAGTCTAAACACAAAGTATTAATATTTTAGCTGTTGTTTTTGTCATCTAATCAGTATAATTCAGAGTTTAAGTGATGAGCTCTGAGGTTCTTGTTGGAGAGTTTACCTGCAGGAAGCTCTCCACGTACTGTAGCAGGTACAGTCCACAGTCGCTGCTGTTGTCCTGCTGAGGAACTCTACAGTTGCAGCTCCTCATGCTGTTGTGGGTGAAGAGTCGAGGAGTCTTCCTCCGAACCTCCCACTCCACCTGCAGGTAGCTAGACAGCATCACAGCAACATTAACGTCCAACCCTAAAACGGCTGATTTCTGTCTGAGAACAGCTGCTGAAGGAGGAGGAACTCACTCTCTGATCAGCCTGCAGACATTCTCATGATAAGATAACTTCAGGGAGTCCATCACAAGCAGACACGGTCTGGACAAAAGGAGGCAAAAAGGACGGAGCTGGAGTGGTTTAGTGGAACAGGCAGTGAATTTACAGGGACAGAACAATAAGTTAAAAAAAAAAGGCAAATAAAATCAGCATCTTTAACAACTCTTGTTACTATTATTTTTTGTTTATATTATTCCTTCAGAAGGATGAAGACCACTTCATTTCCCTCTGGGATTATTAAAATGTTTCTGAACGTGAGTTTCTGACCTCTTGGTGACCGTGCTCCTCCCACAGCCCAGCTGAGTGCTCTCCTACACACAGAGAACCAGGAATAAGCACAGGGAACATCTGGAGCATGCAGGCGCACGTTAACACACAATCAGGGAGGGGTCAAAGGTCATAGAGTTTACCGGAGGCTGAGGTGCTCTCAGGCAGAGGTTCAGATTTCCTACTGGTTTCCCTGATCCACCTGCTGGAACGTCACAGATCCAGGATTCAGTTCACAACATCAGAGACTAACCAGAACCCTCGGGTCAGAACATCACTACAGCCGCTCACCTGCTTGGGTCTGGAACTCCTCGATCCGGACCTCCTCCAGACCTGGAAAACAGACCACCACCAGGAACCAGTGAGCTCTGCAGACACAAGAAGAGACGCGCTTAGACAAAAACGCACGACCCAGACCCAAAAGCTCAACAACGAACAGAACCGGACCAAAACCAAACAGGTGCATGATCTCCAGCTGTTAGCAATCAGCCGAACAACACAAAACACAAGTTAAACAATAAGACTAAAAACAGGACATTTAAAACATAACAGACGAGAACAGAACCAGAACCTACTCTTGGTTAACAGGCACAAACAGGAAGTCTTTGGTGAAAATGTCCACATGGCGCGTCCACGTCTTCACCCTCTGATGTCTCGTGCGGCGATCTCTGTGACACAAAAGAAGAGTTTAGTTCTCCACCTGTCCAGGTCACCTGCAGCACTCAAGAGGGGTGGAGCTTACGGGACAGAAGGGGCGTCGTCCTCACCAGCTGCCCGCCTTCTGCTCAGCTGTTTGTAGAAGAAAGTGCTGAAGACGTGGCTCCTCTGGGCCACCATACCGCCAACGCCCTCCAGGAGAAGAAACCTGCAGGGGTTCAGGAGACACCTTCTGTTGAGGAGGAGCAACGACAACCAGGAGGCGGACTCATCAAACAAACAGCTGACTTGAGGTAGAAGTCGATGATGACATCATTCAGGAACTCTCCTGGTTCCAGACAGGCCAGATCCTCCTCAGTCACCGTGATCCGGCCCTTACACGGAACTAGCGGATACTGGATCAGCCTGCAGAAGGTCAGGGTTAGGTCACCCAGCAGGACCAGAGCATGGAACACTGGGTTTACAGGTTGAACTGGTTTCACCTAGTAGGCAGCTGCAGCAGCCTGGCAGAGGTGCTCCGAGTCCGGCTAGGTGGACTGGTCTTCTGCGGGGAAACGCAATCTAATCAGAACCAGAAGCAAGTGGTCCAGAGCCTGAACCTCCTGCAGGAAGCTCCTAACTCAGGAGCTGATTCTAACCCTGCTTTCACACCGGCAGCATCGGTAGAGCGGAACGTCGCTACTTCAAATAGAATCCATTATAGTCTATGGACTGTTTCAAACCAGCAGTGATGCGGCAGTTTTTCAGGTGCGTCCCGGAAGCGCCGCGCCGCTAAGGATAGGATCGGCCTCTATTGTTGCCGCTTCTGGGACACGTCAATTTCTGCAGTTAACATAGGGCTAGACAGGAAATCTCACACAGTTTCAGTGTCAAATCCCAGTAATTTTCAAAATAAAAGTCCTGCAGCGATGCTATCTCACATATATGAAGCTTACGTGTGACCCAACGGCTTATTTACTCCCAGCATTGTTCCAGAAGTGCAGCTGTGCGTTTTTCACGGCTTTAATCCTGGCAGAGGAGCAACATCATATATGACATCAAACAGCGATATCAAATGTGATTTCCTTCTTTTTGGTTTATGAATGGATTGCATAAACAAACCGTGACCTGTAAAGTCTCGAGGGATTCTGTGATCTCGTGAGTCCAGTGAAGAGCGCAGCGAGGAAGCTGTGCCGCGGCCAAAACTCTCCGGGTGTGAAAAGGACTGCTTTGAAGTTCGCGAATAAACCGTTCCGTTGGCGTTTCGCGTCGCTGATGCTTCCAGTGTGAAACCGGGGTAATAATTAGTTTTTATCTCATATTTTTTATTATTTACAATCATCTTCCTCAGATTAATGTCAATAAATTCATCTGGATGAGATGGGGAGCTTACAGACGAGTGTCCCAGCAGGCGGAGGAGGTGTTGGTCCACAGGAGGAGGACAGCTGTGGATCAGTAGCAGCCCATCAGTCCAGTCTATGGGGGAGGAGAAGCAGGAGGAGGATCGACCCTGTTTATATTCCTCCATGTCCAGGATGGAGGCAAAAAGAGCCTCCTTAAGATCCTGAAGCTGCTCCTTCAACACCAGCAGGACAAAGGTACACGAGGGAGCTGCAGAGACCAGGAGGAGGTTATGAGGAGGAGACCAGGAGGAGATAAACCTGAGTGAAGACCACATGCACTCAGGTTACCGTTAGCAGCAGCGCTCCACAGCTCCCTCTGCAGCAGGTTAGCCTGAGCCTCTGACACCCACAGGAACAGCAGCGAGGGGGCGGAGCCTTCCCAGCCAGCCAGCAGGGTCCCGCCCTGAGCCACGTCCCCATTCCATACACCATAACCTCTGAGCTGAGAGGCAACAACTGTCACCTCGCTGTCTTCCGTCCCTGAAGGACAGACGTGGACAGCAGAAAGAGGCTAAATCACAGCTCTGTGACAACTCACTGTGTTTAGTAAAACAGCAGTTTGTGACCTTTACCCTTTAGAAAAGCAGCGTTGTTGTGTTTTTACCTTTGACAGGAAGAATGATCCCGTTTTCAGTGATCTGAAGGAGGAAAGCAGGAACGCTTTAGTCGTTTAGTGAAAAACCCAAACTCTACCCTCACAGCCTGACCAGGTGTAGCGTTAGGCTGGACTGTGGATGTAAGACATGCTGTGGACAACGTGTTTTAGCAGAGGACGTTAACTTTGTGGATGTGAAAAGACTGTTTTTGTTTGAAATTGTTATGATATGAAGCTTCAGACGATGGGTTGGACCTTATTTAGAGCCTTCGGTGACTAAAGCCTTTATGGTGTCTACAGTTATGATGCATCGTGTTGCTTCATGTAAAACTTCAAGGGCTTAAATGTCAACCAGGCAGCAGGAGTGCAGCATGAGCTAAAGCGATGTTTAAATAATCAGTTAAAAGTCCCTGTAGTCTTTAAATAAACCACAGGGTTAGAAACAACATGAGTTGAGGATATTTTCTAGGGTGCAGCCCCAGAAAGGAACTGGAACCAGAACAAGAGAAGTGGAACATCTGATCGCTTTACGACATTTTATAAAACAGGTAAAGTTGATTTTTCTCTTTTCAAACAAACATTAAGTTCCTGTGATGTTTGAAGTGGAGCATCAGCTCACCATCATCAGACCGTTGGCGCCAACCTCCATCAGGCCCACGTGAAGCGAGCAGAACTCCAGCTGCAGGAAGGAAGGCTGTGGAGGATCCAGCCGTTTGGAAACCTGTCAGACGACGCACAAGGACAAAGTTTCCATCAGAGAATATGAGATGAAACAACAGGAACCAAATCCAGAGCTGTAGAGCATCTACAGGGTCCAGATGTTCAGACAAATCCCAGAAGGTCTGGCTTTAGTAAACACAACAGCAGCTCTGGGGATTGTTTACAGACCTGAGGATGACAAACAAACAGAATGGGTCAGAGCAGAGTTCTGAAATGGAACCAGAACCGGGTCTGAAGTTCATTTCGTCTATAGCTTCATTAGTGACAGACTGATCAGCTGATTCACATGAAGAAAAACCAAAACACGCCATTCTGACTCGGTTCTGTTCTAAAGGATTCGTCTGAACTCAAGACTCGAGCTGAAGACAGTTTCATGTTTCATCTGCTGAAGCTTTGTCACCGGACACAGCCTGCTTATTCCCAGAATGCATAGCTTTTTAAACTTTTTTTTTTAATTAGCTCTCTGACCCAAACAAAAACAAACAAAACAAACATGGGAGTTATCATGGTGTTAGAACTTGTCTGTTTATTCTGAACTGAGAACTAGCTGAAAGTCTTTCATGAGCAAGCAAGAGTGAATTATTCCAGGTGTCCCTTGCAAGGAAAATGTAGGTTACATTAAAAAAAAGGTTTAAATGTGTTCATCTGCATGATAACACGTTGGCATTAGGAATGCACTGAAAATTTGGCCAATCACAAAAACATCACAAAAAACACTTAAAGTCAAGAAAATTCATTGAGATTTAGCAAATCAATGATGCGTCCATCTTATTTATTTATAAATATCAGTATCGGTATCGGTATCGGCGATACTGGCCCGTAATAACCTGGTATCGGATCGATACCAAAATATGCAGCATCGCACACCACTAATTCATATCAATTATGTGACCATGGGCTGCATGGTGGCGCCGTTGTTAGCACTGTTGCCTCGCAGCCTTTCTGCGTGGAGTTGCGTGTTCTCCTCATGCATGAGTGGGTTTCCTCAGGGTACTCCGGTTTCCCCCACAGATCACAACATGCCCTATAGGTTATAGACTGTAAGTCGCTTTGGATAAAAGCGTCTGCCAAATAAATAAGCATAAACATAAACTTTACATTCGGTTTCACATCTACCACATCTGCTCTGCATTTTTCCCCTTCTTTTACATTCCCGTGTCGTCTGTCACTGCTTTTGCCAGCCTTCCTAAACCCACCATGTCCTGAACGCAGTGAAATCAGCTTTGGATCATGAGTGTGAAGCGTGTTTCCTCCCATGAAGCTGCTGAGTGTCTCTTTCTTCCTCTCTGGACAAGTGAATATCTTCATCAGAGGATGAATATTACTCTTCAGAATCAGAGTCAGCCATGACCAGACAAGGAGCTTTGTCAACAGTACACAGACCTGTCGCCTCCTCTCAGTCAGGAGCCTCCGGATGAGGGACAGTCTTCAAACTCTATAAACTCAGAAATTTTCAATAGAAACAGCTAAGAGGTGTTGCTCAGACTGAAGTTACACATCTCCGCTATCTTCTGGTGTAAAGTAATAAGTTCATGAGGGATTATATTTGCAGATGTGGCTTATTAAACGCAATATTGCGACTTTGGCACATAAAGGGTTAATTTTACAGTACTTTTTATGCTATGGTTTTAATTACTGACATGATTTCTTTCGGTGTTTCGGTTTCCAGCCTTGGTTTCTTCCTTTTCGGTTTCGGTCGAGAATTTTCATTTCGGTCCATCCATATTTAGCATGTTAACATGTTAGCATGATAATATCTGTTAAGACTCAACAAAAGTTGGAACAGGTTTTAAAACAACGATGCAGCAATTACACTGGTCTGTTGGTCCATTCTCAGGTTGAGTTAGTGCATAGCTATAACAGGGAAGAGGACAGATATTAGCATAGAACCCTGTGGAACACCAGGAACTGCTACTGCTGTTGTCTGGAATCCAACCAGTTCCTTCTTGGCATTTAAAAAAATGGATGTAAATAAAATGTTTTCTGTATTTTTAAAATACTGATAAAAATCTGAGTCAAACTAAAAACATGGCATTCCTCAGGGCTCCATCATTGGTCCTCCTCTGTCTCGTATACATTTCCTCTACTAAAATGATGGTTTATTATTCATCCACAGTGGTTGACGATTGGATTTTGTTGTAGCCTCTGGTTCAACACTTTGTCTTCATTTAATCACCAAACTGTTTAGTCATTCATAAGAAAAAATAGACTCGGGCTGACTGACCTCCATTGGGAGTCCTGAATCCTTGTCTCTGGATGAAAACATTCTTAAGTTCACCTTAAATGGCATTAGCCTTAAATGTGTTTTAGCTTTTTTTTAGGAGGTAAACCAACCTGGAGCTTCTCAGAGTTTCCTCTTTCCTCCACTCGACTGCTGCTCTGCATCTGTCTCGCTTTGTCGCTGTACTGTTGGACTTCCTCCTCTTCCTCACTTGAAAGAACAACTAAAAGAAAAAGAAGAGTCACTTCTTTGTTGCTGCAGCCACCAACAAGAACTTGCACTTTTTCTTATAAAACAATGAGCCTGTTTAAATTTTCCTGCTTAAATTTTGTGTATAAAAACCCACAATTCTCCACTATTTATGTTATAAACTGTGAAAAACAATTTTTTACCAAGTCAAAAAGGAAGAAACCCAAAGTTTTCCTCTTAATTTTAGATCTGCCTGAAGCTGACTGGAGTTATTTGTCAGAAAACCATCAAAACCAGAACTCACTGGGTTCACTCGGAGTCGGTTTGGCTTTCTTCAGTCGCAGATGCAGAACAGCTGATTTGTTCTTCCTCTCTCTAAATGTTCTCCACCTGTCTCTCTGTGTCTCCATCATGCTGTCATCGAGCTCAGGGACTTCTCTTCTGTCTGAGGGCTTCATCAGCAACTTCACATGGGAGACAGAGGAGGAAGAGGAGGGTCTGTGGGTGAAGGAAGACCTGAATTTGGCTCCTGACAGCGGCTGGAAGTCATCCTCGGATGTCTCATCTGGACTAGAGCCAGACAAATTCTTTTTCTGCTCTTTTACTGCATCGCTCTGAAATAAGAAAACAAACCAATAAAACATCTGATGAGGGAAACAAACATGAGAAAACAACAGGCCTGTTCAAAGAGTTCACTTTATTAGGACAAAGTCTCAAATCTAATCAGAATATAATATGAAGTTGCTTAAATCAAACACTTTTTATTTTGAGGCTTTTACCTTCCCGTCAGACTCAGCTCCTCCCCATGAAACAGAAGAACTCAAACTCCCAGCATGCTCCTCTGTTCGCAGCTCTGCCAGAGTGTCCCCAGACAACACAGTGATGTTTTTATTCAGCCGGGTGGAACCTGCACCGATCGTTCATGTGAGTTTACAGAAGCGTGCTCAGTTTCAGTTAAAGAGCAAGTCAGAGTCTAACTCCACTCCCATTTCCTGTTTGAAAAATGCTACACAAGCAGCAATGCCTGGCAGGCCGAGAGGGCGAAGCTGCTAACAAACACACACACAGGCTCTCAGCGGCATTTTGACATCATATGCAACCAGCTAACGTCACAAGGTAGGTAACCCTGGTCCTAGTGATCCACGGTACTGCTTGTTTTCCAACCATCTTTGTTGTCCCTGCTGTTGATTACCTGGATCGGGTTTGTTCAGCCAATTTAGAAGCTGCGAGTTCACGCATGGCTGGAAACACGCAGGACTGTGGCTCTCTAGGACCTGGGGTGCCTACACCCGTCTTAATCAATAGTGATGGCAGATTAAAATTCGAAATGTAGTGCTGAGTTTTTACCTGAAGGGGGCGCACCACAGACAGTTTTAGGTAGAATATTTAAATTTTAACTAAGATGCACTAAAGTGCCAAATTATTAACTGCATGTATCTACAGCATGATTAGACACACATCTATATAGTTTATAAGCAAAAAAAAGTAGATTTGGGGTTAACTTGCTCTTTAAAATGTTCTGCTTTTCTTCTTCTGGCTCTTGGAGAGTACAGATGCTTTTTTGCTCCTCTCCTCCCTATCTTATCCCAAGGCTCTTTGTCTGTCTTTGGGTGTACGGCACTTCTGTATTTTTTATGGAAACTGGAAATTATTAAAAATGGACCTGGTCAGTTGGTCTCTCAACACGATTGACAAGATTTTTTCAACGATGAGAACGGGAGAAGGGGCTCCCGGATGCCCCTCTGGGACAGAGCCAGCTGGGCTGGAAACAGTGGAAGCTGATCTGTCTCTCTCAACTGTCTGTAGAGGATTCTGAAGACGTCTGGATATTCGTGGTGTTGGTGTCAGGTTTCCTGCTTTTTGGCCTGGGAAGTTACCTGGCTTACCGGAAAATTAACGAGCTGTCGAGGAATACTGGCTCTTTCCCGGAGCTCAGGGATGGATTACATTGCGCTGTGAATGCACAAACTCATATAATTGTCGAGATGAGTCGTAAGCTTGGAACTTTGGCTGAGATTCAGGCTCTGGCACAGAAGATGGACGCGATCAAGGAGCGAGTGGATGAATCAGCACGGATTGGGATAGATTAATTTACGCCATTATTGGATTTGAGAGGTTGAGGACCAACTGAACTTTAAGACAGAGAAGAAATTATCTCTGTCTGGTCCCAAAACAATTTCTTATCTGAATCTGGTGCCCTTGAGCCTGTGAGACTGAAGTGAATACTCCCCCTCAGAAGAAATGTGGAATGCTGCCATTGCCATGGCAACTCTGTCTCCCTATCCCAGCCTGGGCAGGACTGCGACCGATGAAGGCCGTGGAATCGTTTCCAGGAGTCACTGTGCTTTCTAAACCAACTACCTCCCTCCCCTTGTCCAAACGGAGGTGACGAGCACTGCTCATTGCGGCTGCATGCACTGATGTGAGGAGAGTGCCCAACCCTACCTCCCCACCTAGTGGACACTTAAGTTGTATAATGTCAGAAGTCTGTGTGCATATCTGTCTGAGGTGTTTTTTGCATGGCAAAGCTGCCCTCCCTTTGGAGGGTAACTCTGAAGTGCCTTTATTTCCTCCACCTGACTCAATCCTCATGTAAACCCTCTGATCTCTATTAAGGTAGCGAGACTCGGGTTGTGAATGACCACAGTCACCAATTCTTGTCATGTGTCTATACCTATGAATGTATGTCTGATCTCAGAATTGTGTGTACTGAAACTCTAATTTCCCTCTGGGATTAATAAAGTGTCTTTGACTTGAATTGAACTGAATTTACAAAAACACAACAAACTGTTTCCCACCTAAACCATCACTACTCTGCTTCTTCTGTGGTGGAGACTGACACTCAGAGACCTCAGAGTTCTGCAGACGATCTGATGCTCTCTTAGGTCGCCACCTGCTGGACAAAACAGGAAACTGCAGATTCTGAGAAAAAGTCTCACGTCATGAAAAATTTGCAAAAAATAAATGTACTACAAAATACAATCCAGAAATTATGACAAAAATGTTTTAACCTGAAAATAATGAAAACTAAAGATTAGAAAAATATCTAATAAAATCAGAGCAGCTCTCAATCAACTAAACTTATCTGATGAAGGATCTCACCCGTTTGTCGACAGCCCAGCGCTTTGTCCCTGCTGTGATTGGATTTTCCAACTTCCTGCTGACCTGTGATTGGCTGCAGATGCACCATTAGGCCAGCTGATTTCAGATGTTTTACCCACGTGTCTGAAGGGCATAATGACAAAGAGTAATTTGTTTCGTTTTCAGCTGTAGAGACTGGAGCGACCCGAGGGTGGCGCTGCACCAACCTGACTCCAGCTGTAGAGAAACCCGGATAGTTCCCAGCACGCATCCTGTCCGCACAGCCTCTGTCAGATGAACTCCCAAAACTCTGTTTAAACCAAAACATGACACTCACAAATACCACCTTACACTCAAGTAAAATAAATAAAACATGTAAGCGTCCTATATCATGCAACCGCCACTTTTTGGAGCTGTTGACCATGTTCCATCGTTACTACCTCATGAAAAACAACCCAAAGTCATTTTTTGGCTTTATTTATGCATTTTCTTGTTACAGCTGCTAACCTCCCTTCAGTTCTGCTGAGCTATTGCTAATGGCAGGGTGTGGCACGTTTGTGTCACCGTGCCCCACTCCTCCCCATCCAGTGAGTTTCAAGTCTGGATCCTTCTCACTACTCAGCAATCGCAGAGTGGGACATGACTGTGTGAACCAGCTGGGTGTGCGGTTGTTTACTATTGTGGAATTCACACAGGTAGAGGTCACTAAAGTGGGGGGAAAACTGACATACTGATTGTGCCAACGGTAATATTTGATCATATACAGTATTGTGCCCATCGTTGCTCTGGAAGATGTACAAAAGCATGATATAGGCCATTTTAAATAACTCAAATATTTAATAAAGCAACTTTTACCAGAGAGCCGGAGCTATGGAGGCAGGACAGAGGCGACTGCATGAGTGGGTTGGCGGAGTCAGCGGGACGCTTCTTCTTTGGGATCTTAAAAGGCAATGCCATACTGCAACACAACCACAGACATTTCTATTCACAGTTTTAAGTTGCAAAAATTATCTGGAACATCTCCAAAGTTGGATTTCTAACTTGAAAATTTTAGAATTCAGTAGGGATGTAAAAAATATCGATATGGCAATATATCGTGATATTTTTTCCAGCGATATATCAATATTCAAAAACTGTGTATCTAATTTTTGGAAGAATTTACATGCAAACATTTGTGTCTTTTCTTTTTTTTCGGTGCACTTCAAACGCTGACCGCTAGTTTGCAGCAGTGTGCAATAGGTTTTGTTTCCGCCATTGAAATGTAAATCCCTCTGTTATGGTTCAGATACCTCATGTTAAACATGTTAAGTACCAGATTGGACTGCTTATTGAATTCTCCTATATTAAATTCAGCCTAAAATTGCTAATATTGACTAACTGAATGTATCGCGATATATTGCGTCCTCTCCCCTGTATCGTGATGCGTATCATATAGCCATAATTTCACCAATACACATCCCTAGAGTTCAGACATTCTACCCACGTCTCTGAAGGGTATCCTAACAAAGAACTCAAGATCCAACATGGCTGCCTATCATTCATTCTTTCCATTTTAAACTAAAAACAAAAATCAGAAAAGGAAAAAAATGATTGGTGTTGTTTATGAATCGGAAAAAAGGTCTTTTTACATATTTTATGTTTTAGTCTCAAATCAAAATGCTAAAATGGAAAAAAATTGGCTGCAGAACCAAATCAGATTTTATTGTTTTATGGGTTGATGAACTGCTCATCACTGAAATCTGAAGTCACAGAAGAGACGTGACGTTTGATTTGATCTAAATACGATTTATGACTACTCACTTTGGCTATACATGACCATATAAAATATCTATGGTTCCCCTACAAAAAACAAGTTCTTTTTCAAACATTTAAATTGTTTATCTACTACCAAGCCTTCGAGAGAAAACAAACATTTAACATCATGAGTAAAATTTAAACTTCCTTAAACCCTGCAGAAGCAGCAGTTCTTTTAGTCTATATTGATTTCTTACCCTACTAATATGGCGGCCGTGATGACGCATCAACGCAGCCAGTTGAGCCCATCAGACCAAACTTCTAACATAAAATATTAAAATTAACAGCAACTGTTTTCCGGTTGTTGAAACGCTATAAAAAAACAACAAACTCAATAAAGCAAGTTTTAAAAACAATACATAGGTATAAAGATTATATCTGTTCGGAGTTGAAGCGACAAAATCAAGTGCCTAATTACATATTTTAATTACCTACAGCTAGTTAATAAGATGAATGACGTATGAAATAATGAATATGGACTCTGCTACGAATAAAAGTCTTATCGTTTTTAAGCTATAATAATATGAGATATGTTAATCTGTTCCACTATTTTCAACTATTTCTTTTTCTCATTGAAATATTTTTTGGGAGTACACACAACGAATAAAAGCATTAGTTTATGTAACTCTAAATAAATTAGGTAAATTATTTTCACGCCGAATATTTAAGAATGTCTTATTGCTTAATTTGAAATATTTAGTAAAACCCTGTTCCTTGTGGTTTTTTTTTATTTGAGCAGGGTGTTTTTATACCAACCGACCTCTCACAGAGTTCTGCAGTCAGCTACGCAGCTAGCTAACCTGCGAACCAGTGAGCTTAGCTATCTGCCCGCGGCCCGGTTCCAGTGAATCACCGACAAGGTTCCCGGTGGTTCCATGAGAAGCAGAAGAATCCGGTGCGATCCAGAACATTAAAAACACAAGATTCTTTCAACGACAGATAAGGCTGAAAAGCAGGGCCAAGCAAGAACGAAACAACAGAAACGTTCAGTACAACGCTTTGCGTGATGACGTCACAAGAATGCCCAGCTGGTTTGTTTTTTACCCAATTATTTTTTAATTTTGGATTCAACTCAGTTCCTCTGTTACTTCCCCTCTGGCGTCTAGGAGCGGTGAGGGGAGAACACAGAGTAAAATAAAATAAAGAAAAATAAAAAGGGAATTAATCCTAGGGATGGTGTCAGTTGGGATGGTAAGTGAGCGAATGGAAGGAGGGGAGAGAATGGTAGGTTTGAAAAGGTTTATTTACAAAAGGTTGGATAAGATATTCAATAGTTAAACTAAAATAAACTCCTTCTAAAATAGGGAGCAGCCAAACAATTACTACGTCAAAGTGCTCTCTCTGGTTTTAAACCAGAAAGAGGAAACCAAATGGGTAATAACCTCCTAATTTAACCAAATAACTACAAAATAGGGTTTCTAAGAATAAACCAAAAACCATTACCAAAAACAACACAAAAGACCCACAACTATCAAACAAGAAATCTCCTTTAACTAAAAAATCCTCAAAGGCAAACAACTAAAGCCAAACTAAACTGAGGATTGGGAGATTCTAACAAAACACAAAAACGGGTGGCACAAGGGCACAAAATATCGTTAGCAAATAGGGCACTAAACAATAACAAAAAACCCTGGAATGGAGAGCACAGATTGCAAGGTACCACAACAGAGTAGCTAAGAGACAGTTTTAACACCCAGTCTCCTCTGTCTCCTCCTCCTCCTCTGTTGTCTCCCAGAATGCAGGTGCAGCTGATAGTTGATTGAGTGCTGCTGTTCTTCATCACTCTCTCTGCTGGTCTCTAGTGGTGGATAGCAGGACTTCAGGACCGGAGGCCTGCAGCAGGAAGATCACCAGGGCAAAGCAGAGAGCAGAACCTCTGGGTTCGTCATTCTGCGATGGACTGGCTCTCTGTCCAGGGTGTATCCCGCCTGATTGCCCATTGACCGCTGGAGATAGGCACCAGCCCCCCGCGACCCTACGTGGACAAGCGGGTTCAGAAAACGTATACATATATATATATATATATATATATATATATATATATATATATATATACATATATATACGTGAAAACGCTTGTTCACCCAATTGACCTTACTGTTCACCTCGAGTGAACGTCAAAGGCCTGCTTAGATCAGGAAGTGATCCAACAAACATCACTCCTTCTCAGTCAGATACAAAGAGAGGTCAACTCTGTGATGACGCAGTGAGAATATTATTAAATGTTTATGTGGAGCAAAAATGTTAAAACATGATTCATCATTATATGAACATACTGATAGATTTAATAATGAATCAACAAATACTGATCTGGTGTAAAATAAGATCCAGAAATGAATCATTACAGGATTTATTAACATATCATTGATTGATGCATACACCATAAATTTTGGATTTATACACATTGTTCATTCAACAAGAGATGATTATATGGAGTTTTAAAAGAAAGTAATTTATGATTCAAGGAAGATTCATTCAGAGAGTGGAGGTCTCCTTGAGCAAAGATATTACCTCTTCATTGTTTGGTAACTAGAGCTTGTGCAGTACTTTCTTGTTTGGAGGCGAGCCAGATGGGGTGTTTGTGTCTGCAAATTAAAAAGTTCATTTCTGGTCATTGGTGATGTAAATACTGACGTTTGGGTACGTTACACTGGTTATGGATACTGACTCAGGAATGGAACCACAACCAGCCACCTTCTCTACATGAATGGCATGAAGCTTTACGCCAAGAGCAAGTGAGACATTGACTCACTGATCCACACCACCAGGATCTACAGCACTGATATGGGAATGTCATGCGGATTTGAGACGTGTGGTCGGTTATGGTGACAAAGGAAGGGAAGGTAGTCCACACATTGCTGAACAGAGGAGGTGCCGGAAATACCATTGTGGGAGGACAAGAAATCCTACCAATGGCTAGAAAGAGCTGATCTGAAGGACAGCATAGAGGCTGTCATCATGGCTGCACAGGAACAGGCCCTGAACACCAGAGCGACAGAGGCCAAGACCTACCACACCAGACAAGACCCAAGGTGTAGGCTATGCAAAGACACCCCTGAGACAATCCACCACATAGCTGCAGGGTGGAAGATGCTGGCAGGGAAAGCTTACATGGAACGCCACAACCAAGTGGCTGACAACGTCTACAGAAACATCTGTGCAGAGTAAGGACTGGAAGCCCCAAGGTCAAAGTGGGAAACGCCCACTAAGGTGGCTGAGAACGAGAAAGCCAAGGTCCTGTGGGACTTCCAGATCCAGACTGATAAAATGGTGATGGAGAACCAACCGGACATTGTGGTTGTGGACAAACAGCAGAGGACAGGCGTTGTGGTTGATGTAGCAATACCAAGCAATGCAACATCAGGAAAAAGGAACACAAGAAACCAGAGAAATACCAGGGCCTCACAGAAGAACTTGAGAAAGCTTGGAGAGTGAAGACATCGGTGGTGCCAGTGGTCATCGAAGCACTCGGAGCAGTAACCCCCCAGACTGGAGGAGTGGCTGAAGCAGATCCCAGGAACAACATCAGACCTCTCAGTCCAGAAAAGTGCAGTTCTAGGATCAGCCAAGATACCGCGCATAACCCTCAAGCTCCCAGGCCTCTGGGAGAGGACCCCAGCGTGGAAGGATGAGACCACCCTCGGAGGGTGAGATGGGAATTTATTTATTTTTATTCATAAGGACCCTCATCTGTTGGCCCTTGCAGGGTTCTTTGTTTGAACGTTTTAATGCATGTGCAGCACTTTGGTTTGTCCCTGCTCAATGAAATGTGCTTTACGAATAAAGTTGATGATGAATTTAGTTTAACTAAAATCTGAAGCTTTAACTATGAAACGATGACTTCATCTTCTCAGCTGGTTCAAAGTTTTATTGCCACGAATATAAATATATGAACTTCTGCGGATTTCAGGAGAAATCAAACCCACATTACAGGCATCTTGTTGGCTTTTGTCAACAGAAAACCTCCAGAAAAGTTCTGCAGAACAAATAAATAAAACTCAGGTTTTACCTTCAATCAGAAAAGATTCCAGAAACATTAAAACACCCAGAGGAAAAGATTCTGACGATCAGATTAAATGTAATCAGGAAAAACTTTGTTCTATGTTCAGGGAGTCAAATGAATACTGAATATGAAGCCCTCCATCTTCACTGCATCTCTAGTACACACACAGGTCCGGGAACGTCATCTCATAGAGCGGCGTGGAGCGACGAGGGGACGGTCCAGAGGGAGACGGAGGAGGACGGATTATCAGATCAAAGACCTGGTCCAGTTTGGAGTAGAGCAACGAGATCTGCAGATACAACAAAACCACTTTGTGATCTGGTTCTGAAACAAGCCACTGACTAAACCAGATCACTCCGGTCCAGTCTGGGTTCTGCCTCACCCTGGATCCACAATGAGCTGCGATCTCCTCAAACGGGGCCGTCTGGAACCGTTCCATCACCTGCATCCTCCTCCTCCTTTCCTCCTCCTCGACGGGTCCTCTGTCCTCTAAAACAAAATCGTTCAGAACCAAACCGTCCCCGGGTAAAACAGAACCGTGTGTGCTGAGATGCTCACCGATGGTGTTCTTCAGAGTCTCAAAGGTGATCTGCTCAGTCTGGGGTTTCTGCAGAACCGAGATGGGAACATGAGCAGAACTGCAGCTGGACAGATACACAGCTAGACAGAAACCCACCTGGGGCGGATCAGAACTGAACTGGAAGTCCGAGTCCATCTGCAGAGACACCGTGTCCACGATGCTCTTCCTCCTGGACAGACGGTCCTCATCTGAAACAGAACCAGGAGGTGACGCAGAAACTGGACTCTACCAGAATGTAATGTTTGGATCTGAGCTGGGGTCAGCTCTTAGGAACAGAACCACCTGTCTACCTGTACAGAGGTGTGTGTGTGTTACCTGATAACTGAGGTGTGTATGGAATGTTGAGGCGGTCACTGTGTGTGCTGTAGCTGCTTCCTGCCAGAGCCTTGCACATCTCTGATTGGTTGAACATAAGGGCTTCCTCCACCTTCAGCTCATCCTCTGGGAGTCTGACACATGTGTGCGTGCGCGCGCGCACACACACACACACACACACACACACACACACACACACACACACACACACACACACACACACACACACACACACACACACACACACACACACACACACACACAGTTTGCATTGAACTCCAGTTGAATGAGGGCTTGTTATGGACCTGGGGCCTCATTTATCAAGCTTGCTTACACACAAAACGGGGTCGGAAAACTGCATAAGCAACTTTCCACGCAAACTTTGGGATTTATGAAAGAAAACTTAGCGGAAAAATGTGTGCAAAGTTTAGTTGACTAAGGACCTGGCTTACACACATGTTGGACATGGAGAGCACCTGCAGTGTTGCAGCTGAGAAGGATAAAATTATGAAATCCTGCAGCATTATCACTTGTACTGCTTCTTTTTCACACAGAACAAGACCCCCCACATGCACGCACGCACACACACACACACACACACACACACACACACACACACACACACACACACACACACACACACACACACACACACACACACACACACACACACACACACACACACACACAGTTTGCATTGAACTCCAGTTGAATGAGGGCTTGTTATGGACCTGGGGCCTCATTTATCAAGCTTGCTTACACACAAAACGGGGTCGGAAAACTGCATAAGCAACTTTCCACGCAAACTTTGGGATTTATGAAAGAAAACTTAGCGGAAAAATGTGTGCAAAGTTTAGTTGACTAAGGACCTGGCTTACACACATGTTGGACATGGAGAGCACCTGCAGTGTTGCAGCTGAGAAGGATAAAATTATGAAATCCTGCAGCATTATCACTTGTACTGCTTCTTTTTCACACAGAACAAGACCCCCCACATGCACGCACGCACACACACACACACACACACACACACACACACACACACACACACACACACACACACACACACACACACACACACACACACACACACACACACACACAGCCTGAAGCGCAGAATACGGAATGCAGAATATCAGCAGGGGGACAGATTGAGACAGAATGTCATGCGTCTGTGACAGTGTGTGTGTCATGTCACTGTGACCAGATATGTCATGCGCCCTGGCTACTTGAACAAGGGAGATCTCCATTTGGGTGACTGGTTAGCACATGAGACTTTCACCTGGGAGTCTGGGGATCAACTCCTGATTGGACCATTTTTTTATATCTGCCACAGATCTCTCTGAAGAACTCAGCATTGACGGCTTCAGCAACGGTGTGCCACTTTGTGGATTTTCTCTTATTTGTTTTGCAAAAGCACTTCCTTTCATTTCTCCACCTCACCCACAAGTACCTCCATTTCTGCTTGTGAAATAGCGCTTCCTTGATCTGCAGTTGTGATCGAAATACTGCAACAAGCCGGCTTATGTATATGTATGAGATTCACAAGGCACTTTGCATCGACCATTTATGGCAGAAAGTGGGTGTGGTGAGGGTGGGATGTGACTAAAATGCAGCTGAGAAACATTCTCGTTAGTCTCCGATTTATGAAGCGGAGATTGCGTGCAGCTGTGCGTACTCCATGTTTGATAGATCACAAACCTACTTGGCGTAAGTACTTTTTTTGCTGACCTTAAGTACGGTTTTAGTCAGGATTCTATGCAATGTTTGATAAATGAGACCCCTGCTGCTTAGATACATTTCTGACTAAGCATCAGCTGATCAGGTAAAGGTTTGTACCTGGGTTCATCACACAATATGTGTTCAGGCAGTAGGTACAGCGCCTCCTTATGACGACTTTCAATCACCTGCGGACAAATAAAAGAAAGTCTTACTGTGCTACACACACACACACACACACACACACACACACACACACACACACACACACACACACACACACACACACACACACACACGTTTTGACCCTCCTGCTCACCTGAGCAACATACTGATGGAGCAGTGGAGGCGGGCCGAGCTGAGAGAGCAAGTTGAGTGAAGCAGCACAGACAGCATGAAGGCTGCAGCGACTGAACACTGACAGGCTCATCTGATTGGACAGAGCCAGCTCCTGAACAGCCAATCACAAAGCAGGTTACAAGAGGTTGCAGAAAAAATATATCAGAATAAACTCTTGAATCAGCAGCTGCCTGAAAATCAACATTTAAACTATGTTTCTACCTGAGCTGAATGTCACCCACCTGCAGAGCCAGGACCAGCTGAATCAGGTCCACCAGAACCTCCTCGTTCACCAGTTCCACGCTGAGAACGGCCAGCAGCACCAAGAGCGCCTGGTAGTGTCTGCGCTCACTGTCCTCCTTACAGGCCAGATATACATGTCTGTAGAGCCGCTGAGCATGCTGTACACACACACACACACACACACACACACACACACACACACACACACACACACACACTCGCTACAGATGTTTCTCTTCCAGTGAAAGAGAAGAACATCTGGACTCAGGGGCCTGACCTTTCTCATGAATAGATTGTCCTGTCGGGAACATCGGTCCTCCTTCAGGTCCAACTCTGACACATCAAACGTCCCACTGCCAAAAACCAGTACATCAATGAGATTATGTCTGTCTCTCACTGGTCTCTTTAAACTGGTTTTCATAATTTAAAAAAATCAGTAAATGAGCATCGGCTTGCATAGGAGCTAGGTGGAACTGACTGGTGGAGCAGTGACCTGAGTGGGAGGAGCTTCTTTGCATTGTGACGGCGGTCGATGAGTGAGGTGAGGATGGAGAGAACCAGTAGACGGATCTCTGGATCCTCCATTAGAGTGAAGGACAGCAGAGGCTCTAGGAAGGAGGAGGGTAGCGCTGACAACAGGTTGCTGCTCTCATAGCGCTCTGACACCTGAGGACCAGGAACCAGAACGGGTAGTAGTGGATCATCTCCGAGTTTAACCCTTTCATCTATAGTCTGATAAATCTAAAGATGGTCACCTGGAGGAGGGACTTCAGCAGCATCACTTGGATCATCCTGCTACCTTCAAACCTGAAGAAACAGATCGTTAGTTCTTGTTAAACCTCCGAGCAGCCTGACCTGGGGAGAAGGTTACCCGGCGTTGGGAGACCCCAGGGCAGGGTAGATACCAGGAACAGGAATCTTCCCCATGATGAACAGCATAACCTCCGACCTCTGGTAGACAGGAAGTGTGTTGGCGAAGGACCCTTCAGGACCAAAAGGTGAATTAAACCAGATGCGGCGAGAACCTGAACCGGGTGATGACTCATCGACTGACCAATTGTTTTGATGACAGCATCCTGCAGCGTCTTCTCCTGACTCGAGGTGGTTTTGTATTTCCCAGCGTTGTCATAGTAACCGGTCAGCTGGTAGTCGACGCTCTGCCGGAGCTGACGCAGCAGCGTGTTGAACACCTCCAACACGGTGGGTCCTGCAGGAGGAAACGGCGCCTGGGTTACCTGCTCTGTGTGCGGGGGTTGTTTCAGAAGCAGGACTCACCTACAGACCCGGTCGCCTCGATAACAGCAGCTTCAGACAGAACCTCCACGATCCCGGCTCGGACCGACGCAGAACTCCTGCTGTTGGCATCCAGGTGGCCCAGCAGCTGCTGGATGACCAGGTGGGAGTGCTGAGACTGAAGAGCAGGACACACCCATGAGTCCTGGCGAGCAGAGCCGCTCATCATGAGGCACGTGTCCGTTAATCGTTACCTGGATGGAGAACATGATGATCTGAAAACATCGAACAGCGAAGCCTCGACCCTCCCACAGCCCGTGGCTGTCCAGGTGCCTGAAACACAAACATCAGCTGAGGTCCAAACCTCCTCTGCTCCTGAAACCAGACCTACACAACCAGGACCTTACATGAGTACGGGTTTGATGGCGTTGTTGATGTGACCATAAGCAGCTCGGCCTAGCAGCTCCCTGAAACACACCTCCGTCTGCTCCGCCGGAGACCCGCTGCACACAAACACAACCCAGCCAAGTTTAGCTCCAACACCAAGCTCAGGCCGTCATGAACCCGAACCCTGGTGGAGCACCTGCTGCTGTCCGACTGCTGCAGGTTGACCAGCAGAGCCGGGACAATCTGCTCCATGTGACGAGGCTCCCAGATGTTGACCTGCAGCTCGTCGTCCACCGTCTTCCTGACGACGCCCTGAAGGCCCCGGATCCCCGACACCCGGATCCTAAACATCAGCCCAGACCAGTTCAGGTTTGTTTCAGCACAAACAGACTGATTCAAGCTTCCTGTGTGTTTTAGGGTCATTACTGCTAACTGAAAACTGGAGGCACCAGTAGATCCATCAGATCCACCTCTACCTGGCAGATCTGGCACCACTTTATCCTCCTCTAAACAGCCTCTTGAGCTCAACATGACTTTATCACATGACGCGTTCAACAGAACCACATCTGGATTATTTTGTGAAGCAGAGACGGACCCGGCTCCAGCAGAAAAACCGTGTGACTGTGATGACTCTGACCTGATTTGTGTTTCGGGGTCTTCGTGGTCAGAGTGACACATCTGACTGAAACGAGACACGAAGAAGTCGTAGCTGCGATGGTACGACGGCGTGTCCTCCTCGATGTTCGCAAACTTCACAAACTACAGAAATAGTAAAAAAAAAAAAAAAACCTCCCAAAGTAGGTGAAAGGTCAAAAATCCTGCTGTAATTATGAACATCAGATTAAAACAACCAAGACTTGATCGTATCTGATAAAACATGATCACTAACAATGTTCCTACTGTCCTGCTGACCTAAACACATCATAATCAGAGATAATCCCGATGTTAAACTCTCTGATAAGCCCAAAACATTCCTGATTGTTCTGTAAACCTGCTATAAATCCCTCAAAAAGGGACATGCGTTACACTTTATGGATGATTAAAACCAGAGATTATTGAGATGAGTGAGTTTTAAATTTAAAAAGCTGTCAGAAGGTGACTTTTAAACTATTTATTATGTACAGTCAGATCATTTATGGCGTTCTGGATTTAAAAATGGCTGCAGCTGAAACTGTGGTAACAAAAAATAGTTTTTACTAAACTTTGTTAATTTATGATTGAAGAGATTTGAAAACAAATTATTAATTTACTGAAAAATGTCTCTGATTACTAGATTACATGTTTAAACGGATCAAGACTCTTTAGGTTAAATCTGTGAGCAGGTGTGTGTGTGCGTGTGTGTGTGTGTGTTCCGTACCGAGCTGGTGGCCAGGATGTGGAGGTGTGGCCTATCAGCCTCCAGCAGCTGCCTCAGGGTGCTGAGGAAGCTCTCCACCAGCAGGTTGATGCTCTGACAGTGACACGCCAGCAGCAGCTGCTCCATCGCCTCCATGGCGATGCAGACATACCTGAGAGACGGCGTCCAGGTGAGTGATGCGGCAGCGCTTTGGACTGTGGATGGTATGAATGTATAAATGTGTGTTCTGACCCGTATCGATGGCGATTCAGCTCTCTGGTCAGACGCTCTGACAGGTAAGCAGCGATCCTGTCCAGTTTCTCTGGAGCTGACAGAGCGAAGAACGTCAGCTTCTCCATGTTGGCCTTGACCAGCCCGTCCTGTCCACACGGCCAACACACACATCTGTGTTACATCTGTTCACTCAGAGAAGCTAAAGGCCAGAAGGTCCAAACAGGGTTAACTCAGTATTTTACCTAAATATAAATTCAGACAGCTGTAAAAAGGAAGTGTTCTTTCAAAATAAAAGCAGGGAGAGATCTTCTATCTAAGGTGTCAGAGTCCCTTTTATGGTCACATGAGTCTATCTGGGTTATCCTGTACTGACAAATGGTCTCAGATTTCATTTGATATATTTAGACTTGTCTCTTGATTTTATTTTAACGTAATTATGTGACAAACAAAATACTTCCACATTTCTACTGTTGTGAGATAAATGTGGCTAAAACAGCTGTTATTATTAATTTATTATTATGAATACTTTGCAAACAAAGATCTGATAGGTGAGTAGAGTAAAAATAAAACATGTTTTTACTTCTGGGTTTTCTGGGAAGATGTTGTCGACCAGCCGTTTGTAGCGAGGGCGTAGCGCCCAGCAGCACCCGCACAGACCTGCAGAAACACAAAACGTCTGTTCAGTTATCAAATTCATCCAGAAGTTTTAATTATTCTTAAATATTTATTTAAAATGTTCCACCTTTTTAAAATCTAGACCAGAATAAAGGTAAGTGACCTTTTCTTTCCTATTCATTTCCTCTCTCCCTTTCCTTACACTTTTAATCACATTTTTTCTCATTTTAAACATATTTTTAAATAAACATTTTTTATATTTTAATTTGTTTGTTTATGTGAAGCGCCTCATGATTTCTATCTTGAGAGGCGCTTTATAAAATGAGCCTTTCTTTCTGACCACTGAGGTGTGAGTCATGCTCCAGCCTGCAGGGGGCAGCAGAGTGTCTGAGGAGTTAATCTGTCATTTTTCATCTCTCCATGTTGACTGTTGCTGGTTTTTAAGGATTAACGATCACATGAGACGAGCTACACAGACCTCAGCCTCCACCTGAACCAGATCCTGGATCATGAAGCTGAGGATCAGCAGAACCCATCAGAACTTTCTCCAAGTGACCCATCACTCACAGAGAAACAGTAAAGCCACGTCTTCAGAGGTAATCCTTCTGCAGCTTGTTACATAACGCCTCTATGTTGTTTTTTCAGTTAGCAGAGCTTAAAAAGTCCACTCTGCTGATTCAGTACTCACAACCGGACACGTGACCCATTAGGGAACCAGAACCAGCTACAAGTTATAATCAGCTGCTTAAAACCCTGAAAGCTTTGATAGGAAATCCTTCCAGACTGATGTCAGATGGTCTGAATTTAACACCAGGAGACAAATGGTTGCTTCTGGGTTTGTTAGCCAAATATCTGCAGAACATCTGGAACCACTGGATCAACCTCTGCAGCCGATTAACGTCTGGAGTTGATCCAGTTCAAGATGGCCACCACAGCTGATCAACATCCAACAGTTGTGAGTGAGTTACAGACGAGGACCTGAAACCAGGTGTGGTGGCAGCAGGTCGTAACCAAAACCATCAGATCCGAGTTAAAACAGTCCTCACGGTCTGTGGAGGATCGGAAATGTAAATATTCTATTTTAATGAATCTTTAACAAGAATTCAGCAGGAAAAGGTTTTCAGTTTGTAGTTTTTTTAAAGTCACACAACTATGAGGCAGCTAAATAAACACAAGCGTGTGGAGGAGACACCAATTATTCTTAAATGATAAAACAAGGACTTCAAATAATGAAGACAAATAAAAATACAAATAAAACTATAAATTATCATCTAAATTAAACAGAAACTCAGCAAATACCCAAATAAAACAATCATAAAAAATCTGTCTTACCATACATGAGGAATGAACTTCTTTGGCACCGTCACATCAATCAGACACACACATCTGGAGTTAATCCTCCCTACACACACATACGCACACACAGCAGAAGCTCCGCCCCCTTTGTTCTCCCTAAATGTATTCCAACCTGTTGGTTTTAATTCCAACTCAGAGGTTCGGTTAAAGGCTCGGTGGTGCTTTTATTGTTGTTTAATTGCTCTTCGCAGGTCCTGGGTGCTGTCGGTGAGATCTGGGCCACGCGCAGCAGCTCAGCCCTCAATAATCTGCTCAGGTTGATCCGTCTTCCAGCAGAAACACACAAAATATCAGAAATCTGAACAAAACAGAGCTGAAAGAGCCGAGCGGTGGTGATTCATTTCTGATCCCTTATATTTAACATCTCTGATGATCTGTCAGCAGAAATGAGGTAAATTATCCCTAAAAAGGTCATTAGAAAGGTGTCAGACAAGATTTATGCTTTCTAATGAATTCATTATTATTTATTATTTACTCTCCTTGTAGCTATGGGGGCTCAGAAGGGTCAAAAATAACTGAACTTTAATTTTTCTGATTAAAACATTAAAGTGGGACTAAAGAGCAGAATTAAAACCAACCTGAACAGAAAGACCTCACTGGGCTGAAGCTGCTGGTGAGAAAAGGAAAACGGTGGAGTTTCTAAAACGTCTCCAAATGATCAGGAGAGTTCTCGCTCCTGCTGTGAGTCTTGCGCCACATTCTCATGGGGCTGGAGTTTAGAACATTTTAATAAAAAGCAGAAGACCAGTTATCTCCTGTAAAAGTCACACGTCTGGAAATGAGAGTCAGAAATGTGACACGACTTTGGGAGGAGCTGGAAACACGAGGAACTAAATCCGAGACTGACCGGAGATGAAAAGAAGAAAATTATCTGAGAACAAAAATATATAAAATGAGGATAAAATGTAAAGAAATTAAGACACTTTGGGACCAAATGGTGAAAGGAAAGATTAAAGTTTCAGTCAGACCCTCTCCACTTCATTTATATGTTTAACTATTTTTTTATATTGAAATACATTAAAATTTATAAGATGCTAATTAAGTTAATTTCTCACATCTTCCTTTCATTTTTCACACATTTTTTTCTAATGAAAATATTTTTTAAGTCTGAAAGATCCACGGATGAAAGTTTACAGCATTTCTCCTTCAAATCAGAGAAAAGTCAAAAATAAAATCCGGATAAGCTGATTTAAAATCCACCTGAGCTCCAGCTGCTGGTTACGTCTCAGATTGTGGAGATTAACCAGAAATTATTCACACTAATAAGGAAACCAGACTGCGTTAGGAGGTTTCCTCTGCACTATCTGGACCAACAGCATCTAATAAAACACAGAAGAAGAGAGAGAGTCACCTCCTGAGGTTTGGTGGTCGAACACGGAGCAGCAGTCCTGCAGCAGCCGTCGAGGAGCTTCAGGTACGGTCGGCATGACGATGACCCTGGGCAAGCTGGGGATGGTCAGGCCCCGGGGGATGCTGGGAAAGCTGGGGAGAGTGGGCAGACTGGGCATGGTGATTCCTCGGGGAAGGCTGGGGGGGTTGATGCTTCGGGGCAGAGAACTGACCAGGGCCGGCATGGTCACCCCCCGCGGCATGCTGGGAAATCTGGGGAGAGTCCCCGGCATCACTGGGATGAGTCTTGGAACAGGAGGAGGAAGGGAAATCCTCCCTGTTGTCTTCTTCTTAACCTGCGAGACACACACTCAGCTGCTGTGATGTTCTCCTGAAACCTGAAGCTTCTGCTTAGTTTCTCTCTTTAAAAATTCAAATAACTTTATTGTTCTAATGAAACCAAACTAAGAACAACCTGCTTGTAAGAAGCTGCTCCGATCCTGGTGGGAAAAGCTTCTGTAAAGTGTTGAAAGTCCACGAAGCTCCTACCTGCTGCAGCTGCTTCCCTCCAACAGCTGTTTATGTAACATCAGCTGAGCTCCAATCAATAATCAGCGTGATCGATCTGCTGCTCCACATAAAGCTCCACAAGCATCCGGCTGCAGCAGCTGGTTCCTGACTCACATGAAAGTTTAAAAACCTCTGCACCTCCTCCTGATGCTCCTCCTCCTCATCATCATCATCAGGCTGCTGCTATGTGCAGGAGCTCCCTCTGCTGATGTACGAAGAGCACTTCAACTGCATCATCCAACAGGGTCATCTGGATCAGTTTGTCTCCTTAGGACAAATCACGGGGGGGGTCTATACAGCATACCACAGATTATTAAACTGGTCTGGATTACAGATCCAGGTGTTACATCCAGTCCCATCGTTTTACGCCATAAAAAGGTTTTAGGTATTTTCTGAGAAGTTATATAACAGCTGTTTGTTCCTTTGTGTTTTCTAACCTGAAGCCTATGAAAGATGTTGTGTCGCTTCAGACCTCTCCGGCCTGTAATCCTGTTGCAGGAGGAGGATCTGAGACATCCTGGTTCTCATGTGATCATTGATAAATAAACAGCCGTTTCTGACAAACCTTTTATTGTCAGAATGTGATCCATTCTTGTGGACTGTGTTATTTCACCCTGAGTGTGGATTGACAGGTACAGTACCTTGTTTGTATACTTATAAATGAATGAGGCACTCTCTGATTTTTCAGTTCTGGTCCATCTGGGTCCCTTGAGACAGATTTGGTGAATGCCCCTGTTGGTAAAGGTGGAGCTTTATAAAAAAAGTTCTGGTTTTGATTTCAGTCCCTTCAGATCAGGTTTCAGGTTAAAGCTGGACTCAGTCCACCTCAGAGAGTTTACTGTCCTTTGCTGGTCCTCCTATAAACAATCCTCCAAGCTCCGCCTCTAGCTCCTGCAGGTGGGCGTGGCCAGACCCTACACCAGAATCCAGCTCTCCCAGCATCCTCCACCAGGGCAGCCGGCTCGCCTGCAGCACTGCGTTGTGGGCGTCGCGCGCTCGAGCGGCAATGGAAGCTGACGGGCTCAGAAAGGAGTTAGCCTGCATCTCCGTGACAACAGAAAGGGGCGGGGCATCTGCAAGGAGCAATACAGACTGATCAACAGCTGGATCCAGATGTGCAGCCTCCACACCACTAGAGGGCCCATGGAGCTGCACCCACAGATGAAATGTTCTCTACAGGTTTGATTGTTGAGTTTTCGTGTTTGAGTGTCAGCACGACCTAAATAAAAACAGAAGAAGATGATATGGGCGTGTTACCTCGGAGCAGCTCCAACTGTGTGTGCGTACACGCCAGTACAGCTGCCACCCGCTGCTCCTCTCTTCTGTAATAATCTCCTCTTTGCAGCTCCGCCTGCAGGAGCAGCTGCACCTCCTGATGGAGGGAAACACACTCCTCAGGAGACACACGAGATGACTACACACACACACACACACACACACACACACACACACACACACACACGGAGTCAAAATCACCGGACATGACAATTAAATGTTTGATTATATCTCTCAGATTTTAGTTTATAAGCATCAGCATCTTCTCACCCGGTGAACAGAAATGTAATTGTCCACCTGCTGCTGTAGCTCCGCCCTCCGGCTGTCTGTCAAACCTTCCTGACCAATCCAGAGAGGGACAAGGAATGGGACCTTTGCTGGTGCACGTTTTCCTAAAAAACATCGCACCTGAAGGGGTAAAAAGGAGAGCGGAGTGACTCAAACAGATTTCACTAGGAGCTCCTGAATTAAGACCTGTCTTTGTGTGTGTGTGTGTGTGTGTGTGTGTGTGTGTGTGTGTGTGTGTGTGTGTGTGTAATTACAGCTCTCTGCAGCGTCCTAGCAGCCTGCTCTTGTATGTCTTTCTGCCTCAGAGCGTGTCTCAGTGTGTTCTTGTAGCGTCTCCTCTCCCTGAAGCCTCTCCAGAAGCTCTGGATCACAATGGCGGCTCGACGCTTACACTCTTCCAGGTATGGCTGCACCTGCTCTGAAAACACACACACACACACACATACATGTTTACAGAGGGATTAAAATATGAGTGTTTCTGATATAGGATAATCTGCATTTTAAATAATCTCATGTAAAACAAACTTAACTTTAATATGAATGAATTTAGTCACCAGATCCAAACCCTATTTTGTGTAATCCTACTGTGTGTTTCTTCTGATTTCATTATTAGGAACCACACCTGCAGTCTTCTTCAGAGCTAGCCACAGCGGCTAGCTCTGAAGAAGACCACAGGTGTGGTCGAAACGGTCAGCCAAAAGGTAAAACATCCTTTCCTGTGTTAAAAAAAGAACATAATTATGCTGCTCAGAACCAGTCCTGGAAACGGCTCTGATACATTTCTTAGTACTAAACATGTTTCTAACTACTAGGATCATCAAAATCCAGTTATATAAAAAGTTTGTGTCACAGGGAAAACCAAACAACAACAGTAAATAAAACCTAGAGAGGTCCTCCTGTAGTTGAGAGAAACAGACCAGGTTTATTTACCAGGAGGCAGCAGCTGCAGCAGTTGTAACTGTCTCTGGTGGAAGCTCCTCCTGGCCTGTTGTCGCCTCACACACACCTACAACATCAACCAGACTGTGAGGAGGCTCACAAGACAAATGCTCAGCTGTTACATGGTGGATCTGACTTAAACTTAAAGTATCTCCAACAGTCATCTTCTTATCAGGGAAGAATAACACTTCTGTGTTAAAAACTAAAACTTCTACCTGATACTTAAGTTCCTCCTTCTGCCGCTGCGCCTCCTGCTGCTCCTGCTCATGCCTCTTTCGAGACCTAACACACACATGCACGCACACACACACACACACACACACACACACACACACACACACACACACACACACACACACACACACACACACACACACACACACACACACACACACACACACTTTAGTGGATTTATTTCCAGAAACTTCAAACAAAGTGCTCTCTGCATCAACCCACCAGTCAGGCAGGTGAAAAGTGTGTGGAAAAGTTATTTTATTTGCACCAGTAAACTATTCAACTGACAAGTCTTCCAGCTTCTTCTACAACACACTGTTGAATAAAAAATACTTGGTTTCTTGGATATAACAAGCCTAAATGAACAAAAAACAAAGAAACCCAAACAACACCACATAACCACTAGCTGGAGTAAACACCTGGACCACAGGTGAATTCAGATTTTAATGATTAAGAACTACCGGTTATAGTCCTGCTAGTTGGTGTAATCATGTCTGATTAATCTGATCTGCTCCAGATGGTTCTGGTGTTTCAGTTTCTGTATCTACTCCAAAACAGGAAGTTACCTGTACATCCTCTGAAACAGGAAGTTGTTACCTGTACATCCTCTGAAACAGGAAGTTGTTAACTGTATCTCCTCTGAAACAGGAAGTCGTTAACTGTATCTCCTCTAAACAGGAAGTTGTTACCTGTTTCTCCTCTAAAACAGGAAGTCGTACCTGTACATCCTCTAAACAGGAAGTTGTTACCTGTACATCCTCTAAACAGGAAGTTGTTACCTGTATCCCCTCTAAAACAGGAAGTCGTACCTGTATATAATCTAAAACCGGAAGTTGTTACCTGTATCTTCTCCAAACAGGAAGTTGTTACCTGTATATCCTCTACAACAGGAAGTTGTTACCTGTATCTTCTCCAATTAGGAAGTTGTTACCTGTATATCCTCTACAACAGGAAGTTGTTACCTGTATCTTCTCCAAACAGGAAGTCGTACCTGTATCTCCTCTGCAGCATGCTCACAGCTCTGTTGAGGTTCTTCACTCTGCGTCGGGTCTGATATGACCTCCAGGTTGCCTGGATCACACTCGCGGCTCGCACACGCTCAGTGCTCTCCTTTAGACAGAAAGTGTTTGCTGCCTGAGTCTGATTGTCTCTTCCACCTTTTCCTTTAGTGACTCTAACAGAACGGTTCTATGTTACAGCTGCAGTGGTTTCATTCTGTCAACAAAAGTTCATTATATAAAACGTTATTATAAAAGTTCAAAGTATTTTATTTTGATGCACCAGAAATAGAAGAGGAGTTTCTGTTCTTTCAATATGATTTTTGTAAAAATGTCTAATTATGTATTCAACCACATCTTGAACAAAATGTAATATTCTCCAGCTGTAAAGCCTTTACAACTGGAGAACTGAGGGCAATGAAGGGATTTTCTATTTTATTTTCTATTCTAATACAGCAAACAAAAGAACGTGTTCTAAAAGATAAATAGGACTCTCAAACTATAGAAATCACAAAAATCTTTTTAAAATGGCACAATAAGAAAAGCTTACACTGAAACATTTTCTAAATGAAACCCCAATATTTCTTTAAAATCTTCACACTACAAATGAATCATTAAAGTTGCTAAGAATGTAGACATTTTTATTATATAAATGAATTATTAAAGTGCCAACAAACCTCCAACTGGTTAGTCACAGGCTTTTCTGATTGGATGATTGCTACCAGCTGATCAACATCCTGGTCAAAGCCCCGCCCCCTCCAATCTTTCTCCAGTAGTCTGTCCAGACCTACAGAGACAGAACTCATGTGACCACACAGGCCCAATCTCACTGCTCGCACTGCGCCCTACGGTCTTCAGCAAGTGCGCAGTAAGGCTTCGAGTGTGTAGTACACAAGTGTGCAAACAGTTGAGTCATCGACCGCACCGCAAGCTGGTCACTGTTTCTGCTACTTAAAAAAATCTTTATTAACAACTTTGAAACAAACATTGTTCCGCCTTCTTATAAATGATAAATGAGCCGCACTTGTATAGCGCCTTTCAGAGTCAGAGGACTCCAAAGCACTTTGCACTACAGTGCATCATTCATCCATTCACACACGGATGGTGATGAGCTACGATGTAGCCACAGCTGCCCTGGGGCGCACCAACAAAGGCGAGGCTGCCGAGAGTAGGCACCGACGGTCCCTCCGACCACCACGAGCAGGTAAGGAGGGTTAAGTGTCTTGCCCAAGGACACAACAGCAGATTTCTCTGTCCAGAGCTGGGTTCGAACCTGCAACCTTCCGATTACTGGACAACCCACTCAACCTCCTGAGCTACTGCTGTCATAAAAATTCCCATGCAGCAATGGAATGTGGGTAATATCCTTCATCCAAATCCGCATCAACTTGGGCGAAGTGTGCAAAAGGGGGCGTGGTCAATTTCCATACTTGGGGATCTGGACACCTCGGAGCCCCTGGCTGGAGCGCAAAATTGAAGGGTGCAAGGTTGGAAGTGCGAGTATTGGGATAGGGCCTCATTGTCACCCACTGAAAGTCTACATGTTTGACCTCTGACCTTTAAAGTTCAGCTTGAGGGACGGGAGGCGGAGCTCCAACCCTCTGGCCATTAGAAGGATGAGTCTGATGGAGGCTCCACCCACCGCAGCATCTGAGCTGTGAGCTAGTTGGCAGACGGCCTCTTCGAGCAGCAGGAGGATGGCATCATCACTCAGATCAGACAGGAATTTGCTGCAGACGAACAAATAACAGGTCAGATTCTACTTTATTTTAAAACTCTGTTCAAAATGTTTTGCTGTGAGCTGAAAACGTTTCGTCATCGAGTCGGTTCGATAAGCAAAAACTTACATTGTGTGTGTGAGAGTGTATGCATGTGTGTGTACCTGCTCACTGTGCAAGTTTGAATCCACATCTGAATGCAGAGCAAAGACACCGTGATGTCATCACACAGCTGGATCTGCTCATATTGGGTGGAGCTAAAGACTGATGTGAGAAAGAGAAAACCTTAGTTTAAAGGGACTTTACGGACTTTTGAAATTTTATGCTCGCGATTGCCCCCTCAGGCCAAAAGCATAACAGCAGCTTCAATAGTAGGCTCGTGCACGAGGTGCGCATGCTGTACGTGCACACTCCTTAACGAAAATAACAGCTGAGACAGTCCCGTGTGTGTGTGTGTGTGTGTGTGTGTGTGTGTGTGTGTGTGTGTGTGTGTGTGTGTGTGTGTGGGTGTGTGTGTGGGTGTGTGTGTGTGTGTGTGTGTGTGTGTGTGTGTGTGTGTGTGTGTGTGTGTGGCCCGGAGGACAGAGGACAGGAGAACGTGCAGCTAATTAATTAAATAATTTGGTTCTGTAGCTTTCTCTTCAGCACAGCCGACAAAGGTTTATGATGGGTCAGTCCTCCTGCATGCTCAGATCATTCCCTTCCCTTGCTTGAAAAATTGTTCCAAAATGAAAGTTGAACCCACATCTTTTTTATCTGTGAATTCAATGCCGTTCGGCGAGTCGCAAATACAAATTTGGGCATCTTACTGTAAAAAAATATACCATTAATGTAAAAAAGAAACTCTAAATGATCTATGTTCACACCCGGAATCAAACCCAAGTCTTCTGCATGGGTGTCAGACATCTTACAAGGTGAGCTACACTCTAGTAACATTCACAGTATCTGTAACATTTATATCCTTGATGACAGCTGAAACAACATCAAACCAAAGAACGGTTCGGAGCGAAAATGGATATTTGGTTGCTGATTTGCAGGAAATATCTAGAAGAAAGTTCTACAGAAAGTAGCTAAGGTTCCTCAGAAATGTTACCTGTATCTTCTCCAAACAGGAAGATACTAGGCGTTAGGAACAGCGACAAAGTCTACTACTTCTCTCTCTGCTGCTAAAGCTACGGATAGCAAATGCTACGGGCGATGTCTGAGCGTGAACGCGCATGAAGCAGCCTGCTCGACCCGAGCATCTCTCTTTTTCTGTGATTTTACAGAAAAACAGGCAATCACAGTAAAAATGCCAGGGCTCATTCTACAGGACCAGGGCATTGCAGGAGAATGTATGAAGAAGACATTTATTATTTCTATACATGTTTTGGCTGTCAAACTTCCTTATAGTCCCTTTAAAATAAATAAAAGTTATGGTCACTCAGAGCAACGAGACGAAAGTCAAGGTGTGTTCGTGTGTGTGTGTGTGTGTGTGTGTGTAGAGGGGTTTTGACATTCAATTTTAAATTTAGAAAAAAATGCTGAATATTTTTCTGTTTTTTTACATTTATTTCTATGAAAATCTTTTCCTAACACGTCAACAGTAAACTGGGATTCTTTATGAAACAGCCCTTCTTATTTCAGTTTTCACGCTGTAGGTATTATTTTCAGACACGGGTTCATCTAACTGGCGCTGTTGTGCTTGTGACGGTAAGGTGTTAGTGAGTCGGTTTGTAAACTAACCCTGAACTGTGAGGTGTGTGTGAGCGGAGAGCAGCCAACCGACTGAGTCCATGACCTTCCTGAAAAGAGACAAGCCCTGAAAGACAGACAGGCAGACAGACAGACAGGGACAGGCAGAGTCACATCCTCAGAACTCAACAGAACGTTCACTAATTGCTGATCCTCACCTCCACCTGACTCTTCAGCTGATTGGCCAATGACAGCAGGCCATCCATGACTGATGGAAGGAACAGTGTAAGAAAAGTCTCAGAATGCCTGCCAGGCTCCGCCCCCACACAGCAGGAGCTGGAGACACAACAATGAGGATGCTTAAAACGTTTCATCTCCATGTTTAAATCCCCAAATAGTAATTGTTTTTACTTGATTTCATAAAAGGTATTTCTCGATCACTTGAACGTTTAAACACTTACAAATAAAATGATCATTTTTCTGAATAAATGTGATTTAAATACCTTGTGTAACTACTTTTAAATTGTATTTTCTTTCACGTTGATTTTAATGTTCATGTTATTCTTGCTAATGGAAAGCACACTGAATCGTCTCTGTGTGTGAAATGTGCTATATAAATAAAACTGCCTTGCCTTGCCTACTTTCATAGTTTCTAGAATGATTCACTCATATTCGTGCCTAATAATCAGACCACAAAAAACTGTCTCCCAATTGGCTGCTGAAAGGACAAGGAACATCGTAGCAGACAGCAGCAATCCACTCTGCTGTCAATATGAGCCCTTGAGCTCTGGAAGACATTACAGGGTGCCTCTGGCAACCGAAAATATATATAAACTAATTTGTTCCTAGTGCTGTAATGGTCCTTAACCAATGGAAACGATAAGATCCAACCAAAGTACATAGTGTCACAATTAGTGTATGCATGATTGAACACTTTTATTTATTTATTTATTTGAAGGCAGAAGGAGAATTTCCACTACACTGAACTATAAACTTTTATTCTATTCTAGAAATGATATAAACATGTATTCATTGTTTATATCGGCACCTTTGTGGACTTGTGCTGTCTGTGCTAGGATAACTGCACAGGAGGAAATTGTTTGTTTACACTTTAAAGGGATGGGATCCAATAAGCTTTTGCTTCATCCCAGTTCCTTTTTGAACTCTGTATAATTTATATGAATATGCACCTTTATAGATTTCTTGTTTTTGACGGCACATGTTCGAGGTCAACTAAAAAACTAGATTTTAGATCATCTTTCTATCCATCCATCTATTTTCTGTACCTGCCTTTTCACGCAGGGTCGCGGGGGGGGGGCTGGTGCCCATCTCCAGCATTCTTCAGGCAAGCGGGCAACACACACACACACACACACACACACGCATGCACCTAAGGACAATTTAGACAGACCAATTAACCTGACAGTCAGGGTTTTGGACTGTGGGAAGAATCTGGAGCAGCTGGAAAGAACCCCACTGCGCCACTGTGCAGCCCCATCATTTTTCTAATAAAGTATTTGTTTATATTTAAATAAACTATTTTATATACTACACATTATGGATGTAAGAAAAAATCTAAATGGCAACATATTGTGATTTTTCCCCTGCGATATTATCTCGATATTCAGAAGAAATGTGTCAAATTTTTGGAATAATTTACATGCAAACATTTGTGTATTTTCTTTTCTTTTCTTGCAATTCTAATTACAACCGCTAGTTGGCAGCAGTGTGCAAAGAGTTCTGTTTCCACCATAGAGATTTAAATCCCTCATTCAGATACCTCCTGTTAAACATGTTACGTATCATTTTGGACTGTTTATTGAATTTTCATACAGTAAATTCAGCCTAAACAAATCACTAATATCATCTGGCTGAATTTCGCAATATATCGTGAGATATCGTATCATATCGACCAAAATTTCATCAATACAGATCCCTACTAAACATGTAGATTATACATTAAATTTAAATATTTTCAACTACTATGTTGTGCGAATTTTGACAAATCTCGTCACATATTCTCAGAGCAATTCAGTGGTCTTAAATATTTTTTGTTAATTACCAATCTTCCTTTAAAAATCACTTTATCTTTCAAAACTTTTGCTTGTTTTATAAATAGTTGTTTTTATTTAGTAGTATCAACAGAATGTTTAAACTTTGTCAGAATAATCTTTTTTTTTAGAAATAAAATCATTTAGAAATACAAATCTATCAATTTCATATGTTTAAAAATTGTTCAATTCCTTTTAAAAATGTGTTTAACTAAAAAATGTAACTTTACTAAAAGCAATGACTTTATGTGACTAAAATACAACTAGGTAAATTAAATCCTTTAAAGTGTTTCATTTATATTTTTACATTTCCACCTCAATCAAATATTTTTTTAAAACAAATAAATGTAGGTAAAAATTTCAATATATAAAAATTTTAAAAACAAAAAATGAAAATTAAACCTGTTAATAAAAGGAATGCCAGCTGTTGGTACCTGATCAGGTGAGCAAGTGTGGCGGTGGCGCTCCAGTTGCCCTGCGGCCTGCTGGGATGCTGAGACAGGAGACGGACACCGAGTCTCAGGATGCCACTGTGGTACAGCTGGGCCTTCATCCGGGTCAACAAGCCGCTGTTTTTCTGGAAAGCTGCAGAGTTCAGAACCTCTGAGAAGAAGAAGAAGAAGAAAATGAATAAATAAAACCTCCTGGATGGTGACAGAGCTCTCAGCATATAGTAAAGATAAAGGGCTCACTGTTCAAACCGTTGTTCAGCAACATGATCTTCTGTTCTGGGTCCAGATCTTCGTTGTCCATCTGCCTCTTCAGCTCTGATATCAGAGCCTCCCCCTCTTCCTCCTCCTGCTGCTCCATGACCAGCTTGTTGTGGAGAAGGTTGGATCAGGAAAGAAGGTTCAGGAGAACATAAAAACAGTCAGACTCACATCAGAACCTACCCTGGTTAACAGAGCAGATGAGGAGGACCAGAACTAATTCAGTGGACCAACAAACCGAAGATTGTGGGTGAATATTCCATCTGGTTTCACAGCAGATTAATGCTTAGACGCTTTCTTTACCTTGTTTCTGATCCTGTGCGTATTTTTCACGGGTCACAGATTTACTTGTAACACCTGGTGGAAATGGTGACACGATGCTGCATTTAAAACCTTTTCTGTCCGTTTTAGTAAGCAGTTAAAGTTCGTTATCGGACCAAACATTTTTCATTAACAGATTAAACATCTGTGTGGTCTCCTAACCGTAGGAAACGTGGGGAAGGCACCGAGGAACCACCGGTTACCGAGTTTAGTGGTTAGCTTAGCTGCGTCAAACAGACAGACGCTCTACCGTAACCACGGTAGCATGACGTCATAAATCTGCGACAGCATGTTTTTTTTTCTTTTTTATCAACATATGCTTATTACAATTTCTCGTGGAGACAACAACACATAATGGAAACATACAAGGCTTCCTTAGTAACAATAAAAGACAAAAACAAAAAAGAAAGAGGCACTTATATCACAAAGTAAAAACATTGTTACAAGATTAAACATTTTTCTGCAGCCTGTGACAAATGGCTTTTGCAGTTGCATTGGAATTTTTTATATGAATCAAAGTGAATAAGAACATACGGAATTCATTTATGAAACAGTTCATGTTTGGCAGTTGTTTTTTTCCATTTGCTTTTGTGGATGTGGTATTTACCCATAATAATAATAATAATACTAATAATAATAATAATAATAATAATAATAATAATAATAATAATAATAATTAACGTTGAATTATTCCCCTTTAATTTAGAATTGTAAATAAGAATATCTTCATTTGTAAAACGATCAAGTTCTCTTATTTTATTTCTTAACCAACAATTGACTTCTTCCCAAAACTTCTTACTGACAGGACAGCTGAAAAATAAGTGTTCTATTCCTTCAGGGCTTCCCTGACAGAATTCACAAGGGTCAACTTCAAAACCAAATCTCTTCCTCAGTGTCTCTGCTGATGGATAGTAGTTGTTGAGAATTTAAAATAGCATTTCTTTTACTTTGGGCATTATAGGCCATATTTGAAATTTTTATTGTTTTCCTTCAATTATTGGATTTCCTAATATTTTTAGTTTAATCTTTATATCATAATCATCATAGATATATTTTTAAAGGCTCCATTTAAAAATTTATTTTCACATTTTCTTTCTGTGATGTTCAATTCTCCTATTAATAAATTAGGAAATTTTGTTTGAACATTAGAGAAGAGGATTGTGTTTTTTTTATCATTTGTATCAAAGTCACTGGTAGAGTCTTACATACTTTCTTATATTCCTGAAGAGAACATTGAATGTTATTAAATTTGTATTTAAAATTCTGTAGCTGTAACATTTCACCATATTTATCCATAATATCGTGCAAAAAGATAATTCCTTGATCAAACCACTGCTGGTTAAACAAAGACTTTCTGTTTGAAACAACTACTCGATTATTCCACAAGGTGGCACAATGAGGAGTAAAATTATGGGTAAATACCATCTTCCAATAATGCAATACTTATTTGTGAAATTCAGATACTTTAAAAGGCAATTTAGTGATTTCAAAGTCACATTTCAAAAGAAAGTTTAGCCCCCCAAACTTCTTGAAGACATTTTTTGGAATATGAAACCAAATTGAATCTGTCTTTATTAGAAATTCTTTCAGCCACTTTGTTTTAAATGTTCCCAGCATTGCTTCAAAATCCACTGATTTCATGCCTCCATTTTTATGTTCTTTAACTAACTGGGATTGTTTTATATAGTGGGTTTTATTTCCCCATATAAATTTGTATATAATAGCGTTAATATTTTTCAATGTTTTTGGAGCGATATAAAGAGATTGACATGGATAGATCAGTTGGGAAATACCCTCAGACTTTGACAATAAATTTCGCCCAAAAATAGAGAGATCTCTGCTAAGCCATTGGTTCAGAGTTTTTTGTATTTGATCAGTTTTTTCTTTCATATTTATTTCTTCTCTTTGTTTTTCATCTGCAACTATCAACTCCTAGATATATTATTTCTTTTTTAACAGGAATTGACATTATCTCAATACCGGGACACCACAGGGCTGTGTGTTCAGCCCGTTCTTCTGCACCTTCCACCTTCCACCCACAAGAGAAACAAGGAGGCAGTGTAAAAAGGGTCCAAGTGTTCAGATTTCTGGGCATTGAGTTGGAGGATGACCTAACTTGGAGTGCAAACACTAAGAAGGTGGCACCAAGAAGGCACAGAAGAGAGAAAGAACCACCTTCCCA